CCTTAATATTAGGACTTACTACTAGAAATTACAGTATAGGGTTTAATAGCTAGGATATAACCTAGATCTACAATGGTATCTAGTAAGTAACTTCTGGAATGTACCAGATAAGATTAAGGAATTCTATAATACCTATCTAGTAAAACCAGGACTACTAATGTGACTATAGGAATAGATCAAGGTAGCGGAAGAAGATAGAATATTAGATGACCACGTTAATAATAGAAAGCCTGTATTTAGGGACTAAATGTATTCTTAGCTAGGGGTTATATAATGATCTAGGTAGGAGCGACTTCCCTCGTTTCTTCTAAGAAGGGCAAACGAGCTTTTGTACTAGAAGCAAATAAGTAAATAGGAAGGATATAAGAAGGAGGAACGCCCTTATAGATAGTTTTCCCTTTTCTTCTTCTCTCCTTATGCTTAGAATTTTGACACAAATGTACTCTTTCCTTGAACGACTTGGCATGTAACAGATATTCCTGAATTTTTTAGTGATAAGAATAGACTCTCTTTTCCCTTCCATTCTAAGTCAGCTCGCAAGCACAGTTCTAGAAGCTTCTGGAGTCCATGGAAGCTCTTTCCTCTATCTTATTTGCCCATCTTGAAGGTGTTTGCTTTTCAAGAAAGGGACATTCCGTAGATTTAGATTCCCAGTGCCGACCCGTTTAATCGAAGCATGTTGACCCAGCTCTGGTGACGAAGAAATAAAATTAGAGCATAAGAAACTAGGAAAGCAAGAAGCGATAGAATGAGCATTTGATCAACAACCATATCTGTCCATAATAGCTCGGAATGACGGGTCCTGTAGAAGCTGCGTTGCAGTAAGCCGTTTTTCTGGGGAATATTGAAATATTTTGCACATGATAGAGCTCATAAGTTCTCGTGGGAGGGATAGGCTGACTTACCACAGTGTACAATTTCTGCTTTATGTGGTTGTTCCAAGGCTTCCAGTAACTGCCGAGCAGCGGACATGCGACTAGCCATAGAGATTTTTCTCAACAAAATAGAATCAATGCATGGACTCATCAAAGGGTATACTAGAACCCTATGTCTAGGTTCGTTTCCAGGGAGGAGAAAAGTCCTTAGATACATCACTAGATGAGAGGTATCCTCCACATTCTGACAATTTTAATCTTGTATGCGGCATTTGTTTTCACCCCAGTCCCCTAAACATATGACTTGAAGGGCCACATCTGTCTTGTCCTGAATGTCATAAGCCATCCAGACAGTAGAACCGCCGCCAAAGCCGAGTTTATGCTCAATCAGATATCTCTCATTTAGCACTTCTCCAAGACAAATGGGATCAAAAACTTCCGGTGTTATTTTGATGTCGTACTTATGCCAGGGCTCTACAACTGCTTCGAGATCGACCTCCCCGTCTTCATTCTTCGCGAAGTCGCCGAAATCAGGTGGGCCATCGGGCACCAATGGAATGCCAGTCATTTGAGAAGGGTGCCGATAGTGAACGTATCAGAGAGTAGGTGGTGAAATGTGATCGCAAGTCTGAGAAAGGACTGGAGAGGGTGGTAGGCCTAGTTCCTACCTAGACCGTCCTCACGGGGAGGGCACGTGCAGGGAACAGCGGCCACGTCTCGACTTAATTCCTATTGGCTTATAGCTCGTTTCTCTATGTTGTTGTACAGAGTTGAGACCTTTCCTTTCGGCAGGCCTGCAAATATTGACCAATGAAAAACAAAATTACATTAGAAATTCACATTCAGCCTAGGTATCATTTTCGCGACTGGTGATAATTTAAACGAGTGGAGAAGATAGACCCGAACCTTCCGAAGAAAGGTCATTGGTCCGTATAGGGTGGTGGAGTCCTTCCGTAACCGGTACGAAGTACCTGTAGCATACACAGGAACTACAGGTGGACGTCAGTTATGTACCTAGTAATCTACTACCTAACCGTCGCCACAAGATGTGATTCAGGTGTGATTCGGATCCCTCAGCCATCTACGCATCCAATCGATTCAGACGCTTGATCATAATGTCAATTACACGAAGTGAGAGGTACAGCCCCCTTTTTCGTATCGAGTGAGACGCATCTGCGCCTGACTGGGTTTTTTTGGTCCAACGGCCCGGATTCTAAATATGGACCTGGATCGGATACTGCGACCAGTAGCCATCAAGATTTGATATCAGGGCGAAGTCACCACCCGAGTCCTACACAACGGAGCGGCAAGCGAAACAATGTACAAGAATAGAAACATTATCCTCTACCAATCAAATGGTTGCTTAAAAGACGCTGAAGAATTTTTCATTACAAGATGTTGCCTCTTAATCCAAACCCACATCATTCTCTGGGCTATCTGAAACGATTCATATCAACTCACTGCTTAAACCTTGAGAGTCACTTTCTCCACATTCCTTCCTGTAATTTCAACCACAGTATGCTGAATATCTCCTTCAAATGCAACAGTTAACCGCAGATTTTCTTTCGGCCAAAGAGTCACATAGTTATCAGACCAATAAAGCGGCGCAATTTCCACACTTTTGAGTGCATTGATAGCATTCAGACGAATGAAAACTGCCGGCCCTGCAGATTGGTTTTCGAGCAGGACCTCAGCATGAGTCAAACCATCGTCTGTTGGTGACTCCAGGCTGTGTAATGAACCATTCAAAGTAGCCGGTTTTAGTGTCTCTAGCTTAGTGTATTTGGCAAACTTAGTAACTGGGGTGGTGTACCAATCAGAGTTTGACCAGTCCAAGACATCCGTGGTAGGAGAGAGCCAGTATACATTGCGACTAAGGAAACCTTCATATTTGGTATCACTGAGTGTGAGACGGAGGAAGCCAATATCTTTGACTGTTTTAATTCCGTTAAGCGAAGCCACCACCTTCGAGGAATGAGGCGTTGTGTTGCTCTCCACTGTGGCCTCGGAGAGTTCTTCGCCATTTGAATCAATGAGATCTACCTTGATGTGCCGATTTCCGCTGTTTTCTAGCGAGTGGTTAATCAACCAAATATTTCTGGCTCTCATAATCATAAGCCACGTGTTCCATACGCGCTCCAACCTTGGTGCCAAAGTAGGCTGCCATAGGGCTGAGATAGTAATCAAACAACTGCCAATGCAGATTCGGCCAGGCGCTATTTAACATCCAATAAATAATCCCTGTGGCAGGTCGCGTCGCATTTTGTTGCGTTCCGTAAGCTTCAAACTGGGATCGCGTGGCCTCATAATCTGTCATCTGACATTTGACGATGTAGTCCTCCAGGCTAGATGGCTCTCCGTATCGAGCAAATAGAGCGTTGTTGTAGAGCTTCCGGTCGTAAAATTGCGAATCATAACGGGACATATGATATTGGTCTGCATCTGGTTCTTTCCAAAGTGTTTCCAGCTCGGCACCAGACATGAACTTTTTCAGGCTGCCAATCTCAGGGGTACCAACTCCAGGACCCAATTCAGATCCAAATCCAGATGCCGCTCCTTCTTCATTGTTGTACCAGTAATTCGGGGGTACCCAATCGTATGGGCCGTCCATCTTCATTCCGGATGGCCCAAGAGCTTCGGGGTAACCACGCTTGCTGGCTGATGCAATGATTGGATTAGGCCAATCCATGACTTTGAGAGCGTCTAAATAGATCTCGGTGGCTTGGATATTGGGCCAGAAGTCTGAGCCCACTAAAAAGCCAAGCATCGAAGCATGGCTCTGCATCATCTCTGCCTCATGCAGCATTGCTGCCTTCACAACTGGGTAGTCGGACTTTCCCCATTTGACACCATCGGCCTCGTCGTTATACTGTCTTTGTCAGTGTTCTAACGTCGCGGCAAGAGTATGAGAAGACTTACCTTCCACCCTTCCCATTTGTCACAACATTCCCATCCCGCCAGGACCATCAAGCCCATCTTATCTGCGAGATCATAAAGTTCTGGGTGCTCCTGTTTTCCCTCCAAGCGCACAGTATTGAGTCCCATATCTAACATTTAGGCGAAAATATTCTGCACCCTGTGAATATCGAATCGCAAGAAGATATCCGGCCCATAACCAGCTCCGATGACCTGGAAGGGCTCGCCATTGACAGCAAACTCGGTATCATTGGACTTGTTTAATCTCGATGATACATGGCGAATCCCGAATTTTTGGCGAATTGAACTGTCTGACACTGACTTCTGGGGTTTTCGGATGATGGCGCTGGCATGTATCGTGTATAGAGGCTGCTCACCCCAAAGGGCAGCCCACCAAATATCAGGGTTCACAATTGACACGCTCATAGACACCGCCTTTTTCTCTTTTGACTTCAGGTCAAATGTCTCGCTAATTTGCACAGCTACCGAGCCATCTGGCCCTTCGACGGTGCCGTTGATCATTATTTGCTGACCACTAGATTCAAAATTGCTCAAATCAGTCCGAAAGGTGACCTTCACAGGCTCAGAATTGGGGTGAGTAAAATTAGTGAGGATGCGGAACGACGATATCGAAACCGCTCCAGTCTGAGAAACCTCCACATTTCGCCAAACGCCGGTTCCATTGTCTGCTGGGTAGGGATTCCAGTCCACAAACCCCTGGGCAAAATCGCGAAGATAGTTGGTTGGGAATGCACAAACGAGAAGACAATTAGCTCCTTCCTTAACATGATGGGTCAGTTCGTACTGATGGCCGCCATAGGAGCCTTGCTGCTCGTCACTTGACGCAACGAGCACTCCGTTCAGATATATGTCTGCCTTGGATGTGATTCCATGTGTCTTTAGGGTAAAATATTTGCCGGCGGATGGGTGCAGTGTGAACTCTTCTCGATAAAGCCAGGGTGCGTCGAACGTGGAGGGATCAGCGATAGATTCCATCTTATCCGAGTAGAACAATTCTGTCTCGTTGTATACCTCGTTCTCAATAAGCCCAGCCATAACTGTGCCACGAGAACCAACCCGATTCCATGAGGAGACATCTTTTCCCGGCATGGATAGTACATCCATCCCTTCTGATACTTTGGTCGATGATTGGAGGTACCATCCCGGGATAGCAGCAATATCACCAGCAGTGGCAACAAGGGGTTCGGAGCCGGTAGTCACTGCGCAGGCACATGCACTGAAAGCAAGTGAAATGCAAATTTTATGCATGTTCCTTAACATGATCACTTGGTTTTTCTGGTTCCTCAGACGCCAAAAGTGATGTTGAGCTCGGATCGAAAGAATTTATGCGATGGGTTGTTCATAGAAAAGTTACATTGTGTAACTCGATGAAAGAGCTATACGACCGTGGGATTGGGTTGTTTGTAGGTGTTCTCCGACAACTTTCTAGGCTAGGACTCCGGCAAACCTGTTATGTTCTCCGTTTCCGAATAAGGTAATTTCCTAACAGAGAAACCTGAAAATGATCGAAACTCATTTTTGAATTGACCATATTCCCTATTCTTCCAAAGCGAGTCCTCTTGGAATTTGTGCGGTATGCTTTTTGTAGTGCATATCTTTTGTTAATCTGAATCTGGAATAAAAACAAATATTTTATGTTGCCAGATCAGGTGATCTCTGAATAGCTTCATTGTGGCAGATCAGGAAAAAAGGGTAGTGATAAGCGGTGAGAAAGGCGGTAAGTTTTACTATGTTGTCTGATTTCGTGATGGTTTATGCCTGATGTCTCGGGCATAAGGTTCAGGCATTCAATATTCAGGCGCCATGGCATTAAGGCATCCAGGTATCGAGGCTTCCAGGCGCCAATCGGTTTTCATCTCGTTTAGCAAATAACCACGTCAATTCTTATGCACATGGACAGACTCGCATGATTATAGTCTGTTGAAAGAATTATGGCTAGAGGCTAGCTCGGGAAAGTATTCCTTGCAATGTACTCCGTACCTCAGGGGGTGGGTCCCCCTGTGGTATGCCGAGAACTCGTAGGCTTTAACCCCTGCGCTGTACAACTCCTTCAACACGGCTGGCATTTGCTTACAGCAGACAAAATAGGAATACAATTGTACTCATTTAATTCACCAGTGCAAGGAAGGACAAGCCATAGAGCGTAGGCCCTACCGGACAGGGGCACAAGTTACAACTTCGGAATGCGTCAATTGTTGCATCTCGTTCGTTTGCGGCCCTAGACCATCCTGTCTACGCCCTTTATCCACTGTCTCCTGTGATCAATCATGCCCCTCTCGGTGATTCGCCAGTCTTCTCGATTGGATCAAATTGATCTTTTTGACAGCTGCTCTGGAATGCCACAGCGATCCCTTATCGGGAGCGCCAATAAGGAAACCATGGAAATGAGACGTTGCGCGTTGCACTCTCCTCATCTTGTCATCCAATCTTGGATATAACTACAATGCAATTGTGGACTCCTTCTTAATGCAGTCGGATGTTCAAGGTACACTCATACAATTCCCCCTACAGGAGGTGCAAATGGCCTGGGAAACCACGCCTTGTTACCATGCCAGTGCTCCTAGACGGTTGGAATGTGGTTCTCACTCCACCCACAAATACATCTCTTTCTCATTTTCATTTCGGGGAGCTTGACGCTGGCTGGGCGGCTTTTCTTCGTCTCTCAGTATCCTCATCTCGCCAAAGACCGGGGCCAAGCTATACTATTCATCCTAACGAGACTTTGAGCCTCATGGTCGTATCAATAATCACTTTATACCTCTTCTTCCAATAACTGCACTGACTTTTGGAGACGTGTCGCTACCAACCTTCAACGGCATCCTTGAGAAATCCAAGCTTAGCTGTTCTTCTTGAGACCCTTGCAAGCAGTTTCTGTTACGCTTTCTATCAGGCGAAGGCGTATATCAGTTGCCATGCGCGTGTTCAATTATGCATCACAACCTTCGTGGATGGGTCTACTGGCTGTAGCTCTACTGGGTACTTCAACTGTGCAAGCGATAGAGCTGGATCTTGAGAATGGAGGTTAGTGTTCCACTCTGTCACCAGTCTCTCTCTGTGCAACGACTAATTGACGATCAAAGATTCTATCAAAAAAGCAGCCAAACAGGTCGCCAACAACATGATGAGTTACTACACTGGTATGAACCCCGGTGACAACCCGGGTAATTTGCCGGATCCTTACTATTGGTGGGAGGCCGGTGCAATGTTCAACGCCCTTATCGATTACTGGTTCTACACGGGCGATGATACTTGGAACAACATCACGATACAAGGTATGCTCTGGCAGGCGGGAGAGAATAAAGCATTCATGCCGGCCAACCAGAGTAAAACTGAAGGAAACGACGACCAGGTTTTTTGGGGCTTTGCTGCTATGACTGCAGCGGAGCGGAACTTCCCAAACCCACCAGCAGACCAACCTCAGTGGCTTGAAATGGCCCAGGCTGTCTTCAACACTCAAGTTCCCCGGTGGGACACTACTTCGTGTGGGGGTGGCTTGCGCTGGCAAATCTTTACATGGAATAACGGCTACAATTATAAGAACACCATCTCTACTGGCGGATTTTTCAATCTTGCGTCTCGCCTGGCAAAGTACACCAACAATCAAACGTACCACGATTGGGCTGAGAAGGCCTGGAACTGGACTGCCGAGGTTGGATTCATGACCCCCGAGTATCGCTTCTGGGATGGAGCTAGTGACCTCACTGAGTGCAAGCCAATCAACCAGATTGAATGGACTTACAACGCTGGAGTATACTTGCTTGGCGCAGCTAATATGTATAATTTGGTGAGTGAACTCGACCTGATGAGGCCTTCCGATACTACATTATCCAATCTAATGCTATGAACAGACCGGAGATCCTAAATGGAAAGATCGCACCGAGAGGATCATCAATTCTTCCAGTGTTTTCTTCTCTCACGACCCACCCGACGTGATGTACGAGAGAGCCTGCGAGACTGTCAATACTTGCATGGTCGACCAGCGGTCTTTCAAAGGATATTTGTCCCGCTGGATGGCTCAAACTGCCCAGATGGCTCCTTTCACATACGATATAGTCATGAAACGGCTAAAAGCCTCTGCTCAGGCCGCTGCCAAGACTTGTACCGGTGGTATCAATAAGAATGTGTGTGGTATGAAGTGGACAGCGCAAAAATGGGATAAGACGAAAGACTTCGGTCAGCAGATGGCTGCCCTTGAGGTCATTCAAGCGAATCTGATCACGCATGTGGCAGCCCCAGTCACTAACGATGACGGTGGGACCAGTAAAGGAAACCCGAATGCAGGTGATAAGCCCCCAAAGGCAATTCCGCCCGGTCTCGACTACGACATAACTTCAGGCGACAAGGCTGGTGCAGGTATTTTGACCGTGCTATTCATGCTTGCCATTGGCGGTTCGACTGGATGGCTGATTTGGGATTGAACTTGATATATCTCTTTTAACATTTCTTGCCTCTTTTTTTCGTCCTCGGTCGTTTATTTCGGTGTCGACATAGATTTCGCGGCTCTCTAATCCCCTTGTATTAATTCCTAGACGATGAGGTTAGTGGCATTTTGTGAATAATTTTTCGAATCCAACATATCATCATTCTCGCTCTGACTTGCCCTGTTCTATCCTCCCTGATTTCCCGAATTCCGGTGTATCTGCATCCCCCGTATACGCATGTACCTACCTACTCCGTATATGTACGGGATCTTCCCTAGCTGATGGGCACTCCTATTGGAACAAAACGATGGCTGTCTTCGATTATCACCTTCCTTTCTCTGGCAGACTCAAATTAGGGGAAAGCCACGTACTTCAGTGGGGCGCATACACCTGCGTGCGGTTACCTCGTTAAGAAGGTCAATCTTGGAAGTGAAAAATAGGACATTACTCTCTTCGCTGTGAGATTTATCATTTGTATGATATTCTTCATTTTTCCTTCGGAACTCACCTAATGACTTGAATCAACGTGTGATAGTGTCTCGCTGGCTCCTGCCCTATCCTAAGTAAGTTTCCTTTACTGTGTAGATTGGGCCGGTCGTCAATCCAAAGCCGGCCAAAGGACATAATTTAACGTGACGACATGACAGAGCACTTCCAATTTGGGTCTAGCGGTACTCTGGACACTGTAAGAGAGAGCAACTATAGCTCAGGAGGACTATGTGGGAGTGGCAGGGCAATAGATCACGAGGAATCGTAATATCCCGACATTTAGCCTCTCATTAGGTCTATTAGCGCTATGATCAGCCAACACACAAGACATTTCGTTCAAAGAGATGCATTCTAGTGCTCTGGACATTATTGAACGTTTGTTCGTCGTCCACATCCACTGAGACCATGGTCGAGGCTGATCGTACTCCAGAGACTGTGCCGCCAGGCGCCATCAAAATTGAGGGAAATGCTGCTGAAGAGGCGCAATACTGGTTATTGTGTCCCTTATGGAGAGTTGGCAAGGTTGTTCGGCCCTATAGATCTGTTTAGAAATGAGAGCTAATCAAGCCTTAGCCTAGAAGGACGTTTGAGGTGAGACTTCCTGTAGGATCCCGACTGGGTAGATACTTTACAGGGCATAATACGCTGATAATTACACAGCAAACTAGAGGAATCTTTCGCGAACCAGGCAGCATGGAATGCTGAGTTGCACCGACTAATGGAGAAAGTACTTGACGAGGTTGCTTGCTTGGGGCATAGAGATCTTAAGCTGAAAGACGTGGTTGCCCACATTCCCAAGTGATTAACTTGTATGAAGATATTAGTCATATACTCGGGAGCAAATGTCTTTGCAAGGGTCCTCAACGTATGGACTAGTAAAGCCACAGTCATACTGAACAGCTTGATCATTGCGAACAGTGTCACCAAACTCAGTCAAGGAAGCTTCCTTCGTCATTAGATAATGTAAATCCTGCATTTCCCCAAGCGAAATAATGCCAGTGTAATTCGGATGGAGAAAGCCAACATTTCTTGATTGCGTATTGCCAACGGTGAGAAATTGATGAATAGTCGACGATGATCGATAATCTCCTGGCTCCGGTTCATTTGAGAAATCACAGAACCCCCAATCCTCGGATGGCTTAGCGAATTTAGTGGTCAAGGCACGGTTTTCATATGGGTGTTGTGACAGAGGCCGAACAAGCAATTGTTCCCGAGGATAGTCAAGGCTACCCTCCACTTGATTCGAAGATATCCAGTGTGGTAGCATGACAGTGTCATCAGGAAAAGTGGGATTCGCATCATTATATTTAAGCGTACTACTGCAATCCTTCCGGATATTGTCCTCCGTTAAAGTTGGGTCAAGGTCTAAGCCCGGGTCGATTTGAGGCAGAGTGTCGAGAATTTTTGAGAAATGTGAACTTCGACAAAAACATGAGGTTGCAGGGGGATTATCACCAGCAGACATATGACATCCAGTCGTCTCATCCGCCCGGCGCTCGGCCTGGGAAGGAAAGGGTAATTCGGGCAAGACTATATCCGCTGGATTGCAGAACAGCGTAGCTTCGGCGATGCGAGTTGGTTCTATTAGTGCGTTAGCCTTCAGTAACAGCTTTTGTCCCCGAGAATAAAATCCGTACCATTGAAAGTATATGTATCTCCAACCTCGGACAAGGGCAGCAGAGGTGTTGATGGCCAAGGTGCTAAAGGGTGCATATCGCTCTGGAAGTCGTCCAGTGTGTTCCGACAAACATTGCTGCTGTGATCATACGAAGGCTTGCCGATTAAGCATTGATTTTCGAAGTAGTCCCCTGTAGAGGTGGCTAGAGAAAAGGGCAGAGAATTTGCAAGCGAAGCACAGTGTGTATCGGACTCTGATGGCGGAGTAGATTTTGATGGTGGAATAAACTCCGAAGTCAATACCGACATGCTACGGTAGCGCTCTGGATCGTTAAAGACAAAATTTTCTGTGCACATGATAAAGTGTAACAACACGAGGCAGTATTCAATGACACAAGACGGATGCGATATGTCACATAAAGCCCCTTGGCAAGGGGTGGAAAGTGAGAAAGGTGATATCAATCACCAAAAAGTCAGCAAAGATATTGAGAAAGGATGAAACAGAGCAGTACAATATTGCAAGAACACATTTAAATTAGCACGTGGATTGCGCTGTTTATTTGAATCGACCCTGCGAATTCGATCATTTGGCTCCCAGGAACGATGCTACTATCTGTCATTAATCAACTTACCCTTAGATTTGCATTTAAATGATTGATAACCACTATATTCTCGTTGGATATGCTGTTCCCATGAGCGTTGCACTTCGTCCCGCCTATCCATACTCCTGGGTGTTCAGCCTTCTCGCCCAGCTCGCCAAATAATTCGCGATTGCAGGGTCATAGTATACGCCTCTCTGCACATGCTGAGCAAGCAAATCAAGGTAATTTTTTTGTGAGTTAAATTGATTATTCGGCGACTGATCAGGTTGTGTTCTAGCCGCTTGTTTTGTACTCTTGTTTTGTACTCTTGTTTTGGTAGTCATAGTATTGGCGCAATCAATCATACTAGCGTGGAGAAGCGGAAAGCACTAGGGATACAGTGGAATTCATGAGGCTTGGATTGTATTACGGTCGCCCACTACATTACTCGGGGCCCTGCTCCTGTGGGCAGCATTGGCCAGCCGCGTCAGGCCCAGCAAAACGGGAAGGACAAAGTGCATGGTGAAGAACTTCAAGGCTGTATCCGGTGATATGGGTCGGTCCAGCAAGCTCTAGGAAAAGAGACCTTGTCGTTAATGGCTTTGAGGCAGCGAGAAGCCATATTAGTTGTACTCGCGGTGGACAAATAATCACCTGGCTATTTCAACGTACAATAGGGAATTATCGACCCCTCAAAAATGTTCACAGATGAGAATTTGAAGCGTACATACTTTAAAGCAATGCCATCACTATGCCATTTATTGAGAGTATACCACAGTACATTCCGTCACGCCCTTTAAATTAGTCCAGTGTGCATCTTCTGAGCATCATTGGAATGAGGTAGGCCCACTTGAATGCCATCAATAAACTGCACGGGTCTGTCGCTGCTACTTGACACGATCGGCCTGTGACTTACCGCTTCCTCCAGCAACAGGAAAGACTCCTCTCCGTAGTGCTGGGAATCATTGTCCTAACAAGTATTGTTCCGCAAGGCTGAGATCTCTCCCTGGAGGAAGGCATTTTGCCTTGGTCTGTTGCATCTAATTCACGTTCTGTTCATTTGCTTCTATCCGACGAAATGTCTTCAGTGAAAGTCTGTTAATATTTGGCCCTGTCTAGCTCCATTAGACCAGCCTGAGGTAAATTGAGTGCTACTTGCTGTGATTTCTTTGATCTTGCCCATGCCAGTTAGTAAGGGGGCATTTAAAATGATACCTAAACGAGGGGTGAGGCGCCGGAGGTCAAGTAGACCCATTCAAGCACCCTTTCGACGCACATATCCATGCGGACAGTTCATGGTAGTAAACGACCGTGTGGTGAAATCAGAAGAAGAAAAAAAAAAAAACTGGCCTCCAGACCGCTGTGTTGACCAAGATTGTGTTCGTCCGTGATCGTCAATTAGGAACTGAATATCCTTCATAACTGCGCAGATATTATAATTATTACCTTTGCATCTCTCAGATGTCTAAATAGCTGTTCAAATTATCCCGCGTTGTCGGTTCGACGGATAGGGCTTTGGTAATGCAATGTACAATCAATGGATATAAGAATGTGTGACATTCACCAAGAGGCGCTTAAGTAATGGCAGAAAGATTAGAGTATGATTTGACCAAATGAAAAAAAATGTTCAAAAGTGGTTTGAAGTAAGATTATCCAGTTTAGATAAGCCATGGCAAGCTTTCCGCACTCCGGTCCCTCTTTGAGTAGTTTTTTTCTTGCGGAGATACTATCCTCTAGAAAATGATTACCATCCAATTACCGAAGCCAAAGTTGTTACAGAACAGAGACAATCCCTTTTCCTCGAGAGAGATTCAAGACCGTCTACTGTAAAGAGGCGCCTCTACGCATTTGCAACCCGCTGAAATGCGAGGATGTTCTCTCATTGAATCAACTTGTATACAAATGGAGCGTTAAGTCTGGAAGGAAACTATTATCGGTATTAGTCTTCCACAATTATCTATTCAGAGTGTTCAATATTGATTCTACGTTGAGGCCGTCCAGACGAAGGAAATGGTGCTGAATACCAGGAATAACTGATTTTTTACTTTTTTGCCCTATTAAGTATATATAAGCCAAATCGATTTCATGGGACCATACTGCTATACTAGCAGAAAACATAAAAAATGGTTCACTATATCCACGTGTGTGGCAGGCAGCATGGAATTACTACGGATACTACACAACAGCAGATCCAGCTTCTGGAGCAGGCCATCAAACACAAATTTGGGGAAAATGCTCAGTGCCACGGGATTTGCTATCACCAAGATCGCATACGACCCCACCCATCCTGGCTCCGAAAAAACCTTGTGTATGCATGTGCTGGGGAAAGGGGATTAAACCTTTTAAACCAGGTGTGGTACAACACATGGATGTTACGCATCAACCTAAAGATTGAAGGTAGTATGGATAAAGACTCCACACGGGCGCTGCTAGGGTTGCATATGAAGGTGGAGAGGATCGACTTTACAGGAAGAGGACCCAACGAAACTACCAAGCGCATGCGGAATTTGAGAGATGAGATATCACGGTTAGCTGATGGTTCAGCGGACACAAGATATACGAGTGACTGTCAGTACTTCGGGGAACGATTCAGCATTGGAAGGGACATCTGATGGAAGAATAAAGGAAAGACGGAAGGAGGGGCTGCTGTAGAGATAATTATACCGCACATATGATGTGCCCTTCCGACCGGAGAAGGCCCCAACCATGCCTGTATGAACAAGCTTATTTGCATGAAAATTAGCAACACCATGTATAGTTCTGTTAGAAATCTTCGTGTTGGTGAACCTGCGGAGAACATACTCCTAAACAGTATTTCACATGCGAGTGGCCACCTCAAGCGAGTGTCCACCCCACCACTACCTATTCACTTAAATGCAATTATCTCAACCAAAAGGCCACTAAATTCGATAATCTAAAATCGAGTTCTATTAGGACATGTAGTCAATTTTTGACCCTGAATTCCACAAACGCTACACTTCGGTAAGGCTCTCGTACGTGGCTGAGAAGGTGCCGGAGCCGGTCATACCTCACGGGGCATCGGCGCTTCAATTGCTGGTTCTTCTACCTGAATAAGCTCGAGAGCCTCTGAAACTAATAAGCCTTCCTCTCGAGCTATCTGCCTTGGTAGACCGAGCTTTTTTACGCTTCTTCTTCTCGTTTTCAGCGCGTAAATCGCTTACTTCTTTCTTGAGGATAGCTCCGATTGCTTTGTGATCTGGCAGGCTTTTAAAACCTGATTTATCGCGGAATTAAGCGGGCTCGGTGGGCTTTTTAAGCGCTGGCTTTATGTGTTAAGTCTTTGCTAAACACGTGATTGACGTGAATTCGTGACTTCCCGTGAACCCCGCTTCGTCAATGACATCTTGAGCTATTCACATCCATCGCATACTGTGATAGGATTTTGTGTACGTAACCTCTAAATCAGCCCTACGCATTGGCACTGATTTACGCCGAAATACCCCGACAAAGTGCTTCGAAATCATTGGAACGACGATCGTGTCTCAGTCTGTGGTCTTCTTCCCCCATTGGGCCGTCGGCGTTTGTTTTGGGGTTATTCCAAGTAGAGGCTGATGCGCTAAGCTCGAGACATGATGTTTTCTAAGCAGATCTCATGTCGGAGACCGGGGTGATCAAAGCCTTCGTACGATACAAATTTTCTTTCTGGCGGAGCGACCTCGATCGGTAGGGAGGTACGGATTAGACTCGGTGGTTTTACTGTGACTCTGGGGACCAGCCGTTGCTACGCTGAGAGGACAGGCGAGGGGACGAATATTTACTAAAGCTTGAGCCGAGTCATAGGAGATTTATTCTTGCACGTATCCCGTTGCTTCTTGACGGCTGGGTTTATGAGAGCAATTTTAGGAGCATTATAAATCGAATTCTGCCATTCCGGCCGACGTTTCCTCTCCATCGCTAAGAATCCAAGTCCACCTGTAATAACGAAACCTCTTATTAAAATGACATTTTGGTAGTAATATCATACTATGGCTTACTACCGATTTCTTCCCCTCCGGGGCTAGCCTTAACTAGTTCAAATTTCGCAAGGCTCGACTAACTACTTGCCACTGATCTATATTTGTTTCTGCTGGTGATTTCACGCCAAATGAGATATGGTAATGAACACGATATTGGCTACTGTGTAACTTGAGTGAAAATAGCGAACATGATTGTGTTACGCCAGATAGTCAGTTCAGCACAGATTAATGTTTCGCTCTTGTTTACCGCATTGTTCATCTTGACCGGGTGAGTGGGGCGTAAAAGACAATCAAAGAAAGAAGCTAAGTATAGTAGGTCTTAAAATATTATTAAGCCTTCACAACGAACTAGTTAAACGGCTGGACAGTAGGGCAAATACAATCTTAGTTCTGTGATAAATGTACAGCAAGAAGCATGCTCAAAAGTGAGTTCCACGTACCCCACCATTTTTGTTATCTAAACAGGTCAAATATTGATGTGGCTAATTATCTGTCATTAACTAACTAACTAGTTAAACTATAGCCGTCTCGAATCCCCGCGTGGGTTTAGTCGTTTCTGAACGTCCGAGTCTCGCTTCGTTTTTTTCGTCGGCCAAGAGTACAGCACGATATGAGAGATAAACATACCGTTAAATCCAGAAAGTAATGTGATTAGGTTCATAGCAAGAAGGCTCTCGCGGTTTAACACTGATCAAAATTGTAGAATAGACATGTGCTTATGATAACTTTCTCTCCGACATCTGATCTCCGGAACCCAATTACCAAGCCTCAAGAAAACACGCTTTGCTCCCGGGAACGTTTGGTTGCACCACCCTTACAGGAAAGATGTGTAATTTCGCTGTCCCTTTATCTTTCTTTCTTTTTGTCTTGGGCCCATAAACGTTGAAGTCGGTCGAGTAAGAGCTATTCTTTTATAGAATTCCAACCTCCAGCTTATCGATTCAGAATATATATAACTCAAACATCCTCACCAAGAGCCAATACGCCGATATACTCTCCGCCGAGAACAATGACAATGTCCTATTCGACCGCCTTGCCTCCACTAAACGCCCCTCCAGCACCACACACAAACAATAGCCCAAGGCCCACGTGGGGGAGAACAAACCCCCACCCTGCAAAACAGAGATCGCAGTGTCCCAACCCACAAGTGGAGAAGATAATTGCGGAGATTTATGCGGAATTCATCAAGCTGCATAGTATGGACCACAATATGCGAATTGAGCTACAGCTGAGGAAGGATGTCCAAGCACGCCTCGAATCCCAGTTACAATACCAGAATCGCTGCCTTCAAGCAGCAGAGAAACAGGCTTTTGACCTTAGAGAACGGGTCAGCATATTGGAGGTTGAACTGGCATGTCAGAAGCGGGAACACCTTCAATAACTCAACGTGGACATCAATGAGCGACCTCCATCTCTGCTGCAGTGCTTATGGAGAAGGGAGGGCGCCAGTCTTGCTCATAATTGTGCGATTGAAGAAAATCACTCAACGGTGGATGTCAGTGGCGTTCCTCGTTGACCTTAGTCAATGGAACACGAGCCCTCTTGCGCCTGTGATGTCAATGCCGGATAACTTGTCTGTATCCGTATGTCAAAGCGGTGAAAATATTCGCTAAGTTAAGGCACGGCCATACACTTAACTTGATCAAGCACACTCTGAGTCTAGCTAAAAGATGAACATTCAGCCACCCGCTGTTCTATCTGATAGATTAAATACAAAACGAGGACTACTCTGTGGATGCATACCGATCCTTATTTTCGCTACAGTAGTCCAGCATCGCCTTCATATCTGGCGATAGTACTCTTCTGGCCATGGCACGTGCCAGCAAGGCAGATAGTGACTGCTGGAGCTTCTGACAGTTTTGCTGCTCATTTTTGCCATATCCAGCTATCCCAAGATTTCAATGACCCCTATCATTATCGACCGTGTCAAAACTTCAGGTTTTTCGATCCACAATGACAGCCACCAATAGAGGTGTACAGTACCAAGCCCGCTTCGTCGTGTGATGGATCTTCTCGCATTCAAATTTGGAGAATGAATTGCCCAATAGGAATGCTGGGCTCTGTTTGACTAACAATGCACACTCAATGGAAAGTCTACTTACACTCACAAGATATGACATCATATATTGGACCAATTGTATATTATACTTCCGGGCGTCCGTCCTTTCTCCGTGTATACTCGTAAGGCTCAGTATCGCAATCGAATAGCCCGCGACTGTTAAGATTAGTGAAGCCCTGGAGGCTATCCCTCTCGAACATCGGGATCTATGATGTGAATCAAGAAACGAGATAGAAAAGTGTGTAAAAGGAAGAAACTAAACTATGGAAAGTGAAGAGAAATGCACCTAAAGTCTTCACATGACATGACTTCTAACATCAGACGAAGCGACTGATTGAAACCAGGCAAGCGTTTGGTCTTAGTGCACCGATGGTCAGTGCGGGTATATAATATGTCTACTTTGCTGCTTTCAAGTTATTCTACGTCGCATCCTACCTGAAAGACGGTTGGTACTCCGTTTGTTCTCGCAATGGACTTGACAGGGGCCTCTTCCACGAGGTTTCTCATCCTGCTGCTCGCTATTTTGATAATAGGGGCCCAGTCTTCCGCTAAAGCCGTTTTTGCTCATTTTATGGTATTTCTCGTTCTTTCCCAATCATTTCTATTGCTTAACGAGTCGATAGGTTGGAAATACAGGAAGATACACAATTGCGGACTGGAAAAACGATATGTCACTTGCTCAAGTCGCCCACATCGATGCATTTGCCCTCAATATGGCACACGGCGAGTCAACAAATGAGAAGTCGGTTGCAAATGCTTTCCATGTAGCCGAGAGACATGGATTCAAATTGTTCTTCTCTCTTGACTATGCCGGTAATGGCGCTTGGCCGAAGGCCGAAGTCATCAGCCTGCTGCAGAAATATTCGTCCAGTTCCGCTCATTTCCAACATAATGGCCTGCCCTTCATTTCCACCTTTGAAGGGTCTGCAAATGCAGATGACTGGGTTTTTATTAAGTCAGAAACTGGCTGCTTCTTTGTTCCGGACTGGTCATCTGTTGGAGCTAAGCCCGCACTTGAACTCGCTGGAGGCGTTGCTGACGGCCTTTTCTCATGGGCAGCTTGGCCATTGGGCATCCAACGAATGAACACGTATATTGATGCATCCTATCTCCAGTATCTCGGAGCAGCTGGCGGAAAGCCATATATGATGCCTGTCTCCCCGTGGTTCTATACCAATATGCCCGGATACGACAAGAATTGGGCTTGGCATTCTGATGATTTATGGTACGATCGATGGATGGAAGTCGACTATATTCAACCTGAATGGGTTGAGATTATCTCATGGAACGACTACGGAGAATCCCATTACATTGGACCCCTGAATGACAAAGCTTACGTCGCTTTCATGACGGGCAAGGCACCATATAACTACGTGCGCGGTATGCCGCACGATGGTTGGAGACTTCATCTCCCCTACATGATTGATCAGTATAAAATTGGGAAAGCCGCCGTGACAAAAGAGAGCCTTGTGGTCTGGTATCGGAAGCAATCCAGACTTGCTTGTGACGGTGGAGGCACCACTGGAAACACAGCCAGCCAGCTACAGATCGAATACCACGCCTCTGCAGTATTTCAGGACAAGGTCTTCTTTTCCGCCCTGTTAGGCTCCAACGCCACAGTCGAATTGACTATTGATGGCCTGAAATTCGATGCTTCATGGGAATCGGAGCCAGATGGCGGGGTTGGTATCTACCATGGCAGTTCTGACTTCAACTTACACCTGTTTGGAGATGTCACTGTGGCAGTTGTGCGGCAGCTTGTGGTAGCCAAAGTTGAAGGCACACCCATCACTACTACCTGCGATAACGGTCTCGCTAATTTCAATGCGTGGGTGGGAAGCGCGACTGCTGGGAGTTCGATTTCAGCAGTTTCTCCAAAGTTATCACTGTCCGATCAAGTCTGCATTGCTGGGTCAGGGGCTACCAACTTTGCTGGACTCTGCGGATTTACCTGCAAATATGGATACTGCCCGGTTAGTGCCTGCTACTGCACTGCTATGGGGAAGCAGAAGAAGCTTCCAAAAGCCACAGGAGATAAAGGGTATCCTGCAAACGATGATGCTAATTATGCCGGTTTATGTGATTTCTCGTGCAACTATGGGTACTGCCCCAAGACGGCGTGTTCTACAACCGAGAGACCAACATACATCCCCACCAGCTCTCCTTGCACACCGCCAGCCTGTACCAGGGGCGAGGGGAGGGCAACCTAGCTGGTCTATGCAGCTTCGCCTGCGCATTCGGATTCTGTCCCGTTGATTCATGCACATGTTTATCAACAGAGGCTCTGATCCTTTCACCGGACCCAGACAATCTCATAGGTGTCCTGCGTACTGATGACAGTGACGAGTACCAGTTCATGAAAGGTCTTTGTTTCTTCGCTTGCAACAGGGGTTACTGGCCTGCTGGTGCCTGTAAAGTTTCTTCTGGTGGCGGCGACGATGACAACGACGACAACGACGATTCTGATACCGTGCAGGTCAGCATTGACCCTTCAATTTGGGAGGACAATTCCTCCATTTATATAATTAGAAAAACGTGTTTTATTACACAGTTAGAGTAACACAGTCTAAATTACAGAATAGGCGTGAGATACATATGTTAAGTACCAATCAACTACGCTATTTTGTACAGTTTCTAATACGAATTTTGGTGTGAATGAAATCAGTTACCAACGAGAGCTCGGGATTTATATATACCCCCTGAGAGCAGCGACCAATATTTGGCTTTGTGAAGGCATTTTTCTCTCCAGGGTATCTCCTCGCCTTACTTGGCCTAGACTCAGCTTAGCGCCGTGGCGTCTTCTGATTTACAGTCTCGAATAAGAATGGACGGGGTCTGAACTAGCGAGAAATTACTAACTGGGTCATAGCGTAGAAAAAAAAGAGACATTGCCCGGTTCATGTAGGAATGCTGTCATTGCGACAAGCTTCGTTCATATCCCGCGGAAACCTGCAGTATGCAGCTCTTCTTCATCCTCAAGGATTCGCAACCAAATTGTACGGGTTAACAAAACACTCAGTCAAACCTGAGAGAACCGCGGGATTATCCCGCTCTGGCGATCAACCGCACGGACTTGTCTCACACGCATGAACCATGGAATAAATGACGGAATCAGCCGCTGATATGATCTGCAACGCCTATATCCAAATGCGGCCGTCACTCCGAATGAAAAATCGGATTTTCACTATCACATTTAGCGGTCACGTAGTTTCCTATTGGCTATGCTCTGTATTTATCTCGGTTTGATTTGAACAAGAAGCATAACGGGAGGTGGGGGCGGACTATGGTCTCGATTCCCCACCCAATCAGTAATTTCCCACGCCCCTCTCCGAAATGGAGGCAAGATCACGGAAGAAAATCAGCTGCATTAAAATTTATACTTTGATAATGGTTTGGATGCAGTACGAGTGTTGTATTCTGCTTCAAACGGGTCAGATCCGGGACTCGTGCTTCCCGCAAAGAGTAACTTTACTCCGGCCAAAGCATCATGTTAGAAATGCAGGAATATGACCGACTAGTCATTATCTAAGCTTGAACACGATCCACAAGGCGAACAAAATCCAGATGAATGTGGTGGTAATATAACCTAGCTGGCCAATGATAGATTACCTGGATATCCACGCACGTGACAACGAATGGATTTATAACTAGCGCTGTCGGGACCTGCCTAGCATCTTCGATTTTACACTCTCCTTTTCATGGAATGGTGTCACATTGCCATGTTTGTCCTCAAGTAAAACGGCAGTCCGTGGTAATTTGTTCTTATTTTATGTGCCCACCGGGTCCTAACTATTTTTACTACTTACTTATTTCATCACTCTTGCTTCTTTCACTAATCCACTGACGCTCCGTTTCCCTGAGATTTTCTTCGAGGACGCAAATCACGTGCTTTTGGGCCTCAATGTGGCTAACCAGATCGTTAATATGCTGATGACACTGACTTCGGTACTCTTCAAGGTTTTTCAGTTTGGCGTCTTTTTGATAGCTTTCATTTTGCACTCTGACGAATTCCTGATAAATCTCTTTTGTGATTTCGTTGAAGCGCTCGGTGGATGGACGGCAATCTAAGGTATTGCAATGATCAGTTTTACTATAAACACCTTCAATGAGTTTAGATACTGACACGCAATGTAGGACCGATGCGAATGCTGTGGTTGCGGATGTATTCTGTGTCGGGGCATCTTGGAGAAAATTCTCGGTTCCCGTATTGGCAAAAGCTTGAATATACGACGTACTGTGAATGAGGGTAATCAGAGCTAAGGAACGGCTGGCTACTTAAGCATCTCTTAAAACACATGTAGTTAAAGCCTTTACAAAATCACCAAGGAAGACCCTGTCCCGGGAGCTATGAAGTTCCGCCAGTCAAATTGAGGAAGTTTAATAAGACGAGAAAAGAAGAGCAAGAACATCGGACTGTGTCGGAGAGGTTTTATGCAGGCAAGCAAGCTAAACGAGACACATGAAATGCACTACCGTTGATGGGATACAGTCTGGGCATTGTGAAGAAGTTTAGACAGGCTTGGAGATGATGAACACCCCCTTGTCAATTTTCATTGTTTGGTTATGTTTATGTTTGTAGTGGCTTGACATAGGGAGCAAGCAGATCACTCCATGTACTGTATGAGACGGTTCACAGTGGAGGACATGCAAACCTCAACAAATTACGGTTAAGACACAGTCATTCTGTTTATAAATAAGATGATCAGGTGCTAAAGTTATTTAAACAGACCTAGAATAGGTGGTGACTTTGTCTTAGGTCTGGAACCGGCGATTAATCTCAAGAACCTAAACAGTCTGTGTAACGGAATAACCCATTTTGACTCGGCCGGTCTGATTGTTGACTTGAACAGTCAAGGAAAACCCACTTACACCCATCGGTTTCTACAAGAAATTATGGTACTACAACAATGGCTCATTGTCGTTCGAGTGAATACAATACAGCCCTACATGGACTAACAGGGGGAGAGCTAAAATTAGATTAGGGTGTTTCCGCTTAGGGTCCGGGAATTCAATAGTAAGAGTTTAGAGTTAAAACTGATTTCGAATCCCACTGTACTGTCGAAAGTGTAGGTCAGGGGCACTATAGCCGCAAAAAGCATAGCGTCATGCCAAACAAAGTCCAGCAAATAATTAGAGAATGTGTGGGGATGAAACTGATTTTGAGCTTGTCTGTAACCGAAGGCTCGACTCCTTGGGCATTGCTTCTCTATGAACTAATTTGAAGCTCTGCTAGTCCTCTTGGTCCGCTCTCGTCTCATAGCATCCCGCGGGCATGCTCGGTGAGGCTTGGGTCCCAGGCGTCGCATCCACTGCTGTCGAACTTCCTCCTGCGCAATGCATCTTCCGTCTTGCATCTTTTCTTTCAATGCTTCACTATCTATATCAGACCCCGTGATAGGTTCCCACCACGTTGCCGGTCTCAAGCATCTCAGCTGAAGTCGCCGTCCAAGTATGGCCTGTGCTCGCTTCAAAGGTGGCTGAAATGGATTGTTGGCTGTCTTGGACTTCTTTGATGGCCGCGAGTTGGGGGGATGATCAAGCAACGGCATTTTGCCGGATGCATCTTGCGCACGATGCATATACCGTAGAGAGCTCTTGTCAATCATCACGTTGAAAACTGTAAAATGAAACACGCTATGAAGCCTTGACTGGATGAACCAAGACTGGTTATTTTCCCGATCCATTGCAACCCCTTTAAAACCTCTAAATGCAAATTATTACATCTCCTGGTCATCATTTCCTCGCAGCTCCCAATTAGTAATTTGAAAGAAGTATAGTAGATGTTAGGGGCATAATTCGGTGGCGTCAGGAAGTTGACTGTACGTCTTTCCGACCCATCTCTTTCTCTGGGCATAGCTGCTACTCACATTCCGTATATACCTGAGACAACACAATCAAAGGCCGCTCTAATATCATAGCTGAGTTTAATTTACTATCTTACGTTGATACGACCGTGGCGCAATATTAGGACCGCATTTTTGTTGGGAAGATTGGAGGTTGAGGTTTAATGCAAACCTAATGCCATCATCTGCACTAACAATATTTAAATTTGAGGGCCAAGTAAGGTCGATGGAAGAAATTCGGAAACCAGGTCCGTTGAGAGGCAGGAATATGACGGTTTGGGATGTACGCATATTCTGCCCGTTACAAGGGAGCAGTAAGGAGGATGATAAACGACCCGTTCAAAAACTGCTAGTTCGTACTATGTATCCCGATCCCCGGGCGGTAGTATCTAGATGAACTGCTAGGTGGTGTCGTGCCTTGGCGCTTGGTTAGTTCAGAGCCTAAAACTTCCCGCTTTGCTTGTCTTCTTTCTTTCTGGTTGTTCAAGTGGAGTGGTCAGCTGAGGGAGTGGTTAACTTAGGGGGTGGTCAACCGAGGGGGTGGTCAAATGGAAAAGAGAACCTAGCGATGACTCGACTATATCGCCTACAAAGGCGCACTTCTCACTTGGAAGAAGATATAAGGGGGCCTTTCTTCATACAGTATTCTGGACCAAAATTTCATATATTTCACCCAAACATAGAAAGAATGCGCCTCGATTTACCTTTCGTCCTTGGAATAGCCACGTCGTCGTCTGCTCTGTGGTCAGTTACCTACTACACCGCAATCGATTGTTCAGGCCCGGGAAAAGAGATTGGAGGTTTTGAAGCCGGGTGTCGGACTCTGGAAACCGGTACAAACTCGGTAATGGTCTCCACCGACGATGGCAACAACATCACCTTGAGCACGGGCATCAACTGCGACTCTCCTTACGAGGATCTTATTCTGAATGAAGTAACTGACCGCTGTGTCAATGCCGCTATTCGTTCTTTCCTATCTTATTGATCGTAAGTGATTTGCTTTGCGTTTCCACTATGCAGACTGACATGTTGAAGGGGTTTGTAAAATGTTTAGTCGTGGGGTCAAAAGGAGCTTCGAGAATCTTTTTGTTAGTCACGGCATGTATACGGCAAGCCTTGGTCATCGAGACCCCGTTTTTTTGTTTTCATCCATTTTCGTCGTCGAGGTCGTCGCAGCCATTTCCACTGGAGGAGCCAAGCATAAAATTACACTCTCGGAAACAACCCAAAGGACCGCAAGCCCTTACCGGACAGTTCGATCGTGTTTGATCGAAAGTTCGCAACTGGAGAAAATGATGACTTGAATTCACATTTGCCGCAAATTCAAGTCTGCACATGTACTGTATTCTCTCATCTTACTTTAATCCGATCACTCTAAAAAGGCTCCCTGAAAGTGTTTTGCTGTGGGTTTTATCTTATCGTGAGCTAGAGCTCCGGCCAAGAGGGTGCTTGAAGTTGAACCCCCGTAATAGGAAATACCATTTTACATCCATCACAACACGTTCATAGCAATACTGGCGACGCGTTTTTACCTTCTTAATTTTCTAGGCTTGCTTACAGGGGCCATAGAGGGGGATTTAGGGCGCGTTTGGTGCGGTTAGACCCTAGATGGGCCAATTTTAGATCTTAGATTGAAATGTGAAGTCGTATCGCTCGATTATATATATATCCTCGGGTGACACTTTCAGAATCTGTGGTATCCGTTGCAGCGCCAACCAAGCCCTAAACCTGCGAGACATTCAATATGGTTTCCATCCAGTCATTACAACGCCAATCAACTTCTTGTTCTTGATAATCAACATTTTTTTGTTGTCTTGTTTTGTAAACTTGGTGCTCGAAGCTCAAGAAAACAACATCGGACATTCTACCTCGCGCATACTACGCCTACAGTAACACAAGACGAATCCCATCCGCCAAATAGAAAAATACATATTATAGTAAGCGTTTCCCTTGATATCCATATTGACGAAGACGTTCCCATGTCCAAAAACCAAGGCCTTTCAATCACCTCCCCTAGGCTGTTGACAGAATCAAAACCACCCATATCTCGTGTGTATTAGGTAATAATAGCAATGTCGCGAGGTTAATGCTTTCATTTCATGGAGTAGCTATAGCGGCAAGCCTGTCGCCGGAGTTTGGAATAGTGACAATATGGCATTGCAGGCAGGGATTTGTTTAACAGCATAGATTCTGTTATTCTCGAAAAGTAAATAATGTACAAATGCTCTATAATTATATAGTGTAGTACTCGGCCGAACAAAGACAATTTAGTCACGACGAGCCGTCCGATTAGCCCCTGATCTAGTGCATCGCTGGGGCTCCAAATCCTGCCAGGTCTGTCGCAGAAAGGCGGTATCTATGTCTGGAAACCGAGACCCAATCTGTCTCAGGGTCAGTTTCTGGCCCTTGAGCTCAAGCAGCTTTCGTTTCTCTTCTTTATTAAGCTGGCGGAGCTTGCGAGTACTCAAATCACCCGGATGATTCAGAGGTGGCTTTGATCTTGTCTTGGCTCTGGTGAGCGGGGCACCGGCTTCATCATGGTAAGGAGCTTTATTTTCGGGTGCTGCCTGCGTATTATGGTGCTCTTTGCGCCTCCTCTTTGGTCTTTGATCGCTGGAGGGGATGAAAGAATCTGTTCGCAAAGCCTTGCTTGGCCTCTCGTCTGCTTCATCGCCGGCACACTCTTCGTTGGATTTTTTAGCAGGATTGGAACAGGTGAAGAGTTCGTTCGGTGTCTCCAGCTCATCCATAGAGAGATCGGATGAGTTCAGTTGAATAGGTGCTTGTTCGTAAGGCTGGCTTCCGTCCTCCATGTCGAGGCCAATAGGCTTGAGGATCCGAGGATCAATGACCTCGAGACCGGGGGTGGTTGGCGGGGAGCTGAATGGAGAATCTGCTGCTGAAAAGCAGGATACAGCTGAGCTACTTCTGCTGCATTCACTTGAAGTATCACTGAGTCCCGAACCGTAGTGTTTCTCGGGATGTTCCTCAGCGTACGAAAGCAATGCAGGAACAGGCATAAATATGTGGTCTGACCACTGTTCGTGGCGCGGAAGCGGGTAGCGGTAAAAGCGGAGTCTTTTGGGCCGCTCCTCCGGTTCCATAGAAGATACTTGCGCTTCTGCCTTGCAGGTACGCTTTCTCTTTCTTGGAGGCTTTGGATTCAACCATATGGCTTTGTTTAGCTTGTGGGTATCATGCAAATGATGTCGAAGGCCACGCTCATCCGCGAAAGCTTGGCCACATCCGCAAATTGGCTCAGCTTCAGGCCCGCGGTTTCCAGGCATATGCTTTTCTTCAATGTGTTGCCTCATATTGCCACTTTTCAGCCATTGATGCAATCGGTCTTCTGCTTCGAGGTCTATGTTCCACAAGCAAAAGGGGCAGTAGCCAGGCCGGATCACTGTGTTCCGGTATACAACCACTTCACAATGCTGTGTCCTCCATGATTGAATATGAGAAGAGCAGTGATCTCGCCATTGACTTGGTTGGAACCATTCCATGCACTCGTAACAGAATTTCAACTCTGGTTCTGAAATTTTAAGATCTAGTGCCATCTCACGTCGGGCACAGTTGTGAATGTGAGCACTTCTGTCAGACTTTTTCATACTAGAAAAATCAGCATTTATTCCTGCATCATATTTAGGGTTACTCACCATTTGATTTCCGCGAGACAATCTCTAGCAGGGCAGCGATCTTGGATGGGGCTTTCCCGTGGAAGATAAGCCACGTCGGAATCGCGTTCACAATAGGTTTTTAGGTCGTCCACGAAAAGAAGCATTTCATCGAACGAGAGCTCCCTGTCAGAAGACATGAGAGTTGAAATGTGGGCAAGCTCGGGCATAAGTAAGGATTGAGCCCGCGTGGAAACGTCATTTTCACTTATTACCAGCTCTGATTTGCCCCTATTGAGAATCCTTTGGTCTCGTTTCTCTCGTACCCAGCGGTTCTGGTATTCCTTTAGACTTGCAAGGCGGAGTCGAATCAAGATTTTTCTGTAGTTCAGCTTCTCGGCAGCTGTAACATTTTTGTCGCTGTTTGATGCTTCAAGCTGCTTGATTCGATGTCTGATATCGACCACTTCTGGCGTCTGCAGGATACTCGCCTCAATCTCAGCCGGCAGTTCCCCTGGAAGTCCACGTTCATAAAACCTCTCAAAGCCTTGGAAGTACTCGATATGACTCGAGTGCTCTTCTTCTCCGAGAACTGCCGAGACTGTATCGATCGAAGAGCAGTGTAACAGATACTCTTTGGGATATGTCCCCGCGTCTTTATGGCCATATATTTGAGATACCAAGGCAGAACCATGTTTTCCTGTACTGAAGTCAGCAAATTTGTTTCGTTTAGCGGTTTGTGAGCTTTGATTGTCCTCACCTTCAATCACGCTTCCGAGATACTTTCGAATTATATGAACGGTAAGACTCTTGTTGTATCCAGCGGTCGTAACTATTCCTCTCAGTAATTCACAAAACCTTTCTTTGTGGAGTGGAACATCTTGCGGGCCATCAGCGGTGACATTTCTGAGAACAGGCTTTTCCAGAAATTCCTCCTTCCAGCGTAATTCAATGGGTTCTCCGCTTGAAAGGTCAAACCTGGCAAAGTCTTCAACCGTTTCGATGCCATACAGGGCACCGTGCTGGAGGGCAATAGCTAAGAGAATATAACCAGAGGCGAATTGTGGTCTCTTGGTGTCACGAATACCGATTCCGAACCTGAAGATACGTCGACGAGTAAGCCCTCAATTCAAGCCAACCCTCTCAAGGCTTTTTAGATGCTTACACTGTATAGTCTGGGTTTCGGTTCCCTTTAAGCCACACTTGGTTAATTTTCCATTCAACCTTCCATGGTGCCGTAGGGGATGGAAACAAGACTAGATCGATGTGCTTGTTTGGAAAGTTAGCCTCGCACAACCCCAGAATCGTAGTTTCCTACCTTATATCTTAGGCCTCTCTCGTCTCTGTCCTCATGGGCCGGTATGAATGCTCCAATTCTTGCTCCAGTGAAGAGGTACAATTGAAGCGCTAACGTCATGATAGCCTTGAGCAACCCGGGCATAAAAATGCGATGATCCGCTTGCCACATAGAGGATATCATTCGGAGAAAGTCCTTCTTCGTAAAGCTGTGGTCTGGATCCTCGACGTTCTCAATCGTTCCTTCATTTTCTGTCAATGTTCTCTTTATCCACTGTGTCGCAATTAGTTTGGATTCAATGGTGGAACACGGAAAGTAAATTCCAAACAAGAGCTTACACTGGATATCTCTTTCCGGTCTTCCAACACAACCTTGATTTGTAGTTTCTCTTCAAATCCACCAAACAGCCGTTCTGCGCAATTGAGAACCGATGTCATTACTGGCCGTCCATTTTTACTTTTTTTCCCACGCGCTAAATGACTGTACCACCGAAGAAATTCTTTGATGATTGTGTGGTCTGGAATTGCACAGCCTGGACCCATTGCGTAGCCCTTGATTTCATACTGCTCAACGAACCTGCAGCAGTAAGCAACTCATTCTCCGGGTGTTCTTCATGTACAAGTGCATGTCAACTCACTTCATCCAAAGGTCAACCGCTCCGCAGTACATCCTCTTGGTCTTGGGTACCCTTTTATCTTTCTCTCGGATGGAGTCCTCCTGTGCGTGAGCGCCAAAAACATAGCCGCTCTTTTGCAGTTGCTTGTCGCGCTTTTCTTTGGCGATCTCATCTTGTTGAGCAAAGTAAACTTTTCTACCCATGGCCAGTTCAATCTCCCACGCAATGCAACAGAAAGGTGGAAAATCTGAGAGGATGATGTAGAGAATGGAGAAAGCTATCGTGGAAGGTTGAAGCAGGAAAATAAATTCGATTTATAGTTTAGTAATTTGATATGACCTTAACCCAAGGCTGTTGCTCTGCGGCATCTCCTCGTGACAGATGGACTCTGTGCCTTCCAGTTTGCGTCACCTTGCTTAAGTGCGCTAATTTTGAGAGTGGAATAAAATTGGAACATCACGCATCTCCAGAAATAGGAGCATGGTGAAAATCGAGGGCCATCAAAAAGTGGTCGCAAAGTAGATAGTATTGTGGGGCAAGGTGCTTATTTGGGCATAGTCTGAGCGTAGACTGAGTGCTCAATAGATGCCTCTGAGCAGTCTCTGAGTACTCCGTAATCAGAGAGTGATCAGTGAGCATCCAATCAGACTCACTGAGCCCTCACTGAGCGTTCATTGGAGGTCACTGTTTCATCACGTGACTGGGCTGAGTTGCTCAGTGAGTCTGAGCCCGGACTGAAATCTACTCAGTGAGCCTGACTCTGAGCGCCCTCATAAAAGCGGCGGCAGCTAAGATAGGAAAGCCCCACCCGGCAGAAGAAATCAAGTACGTATAGTGACCTAAGTACGAGCCAGATTCATATTTCGACATGGGCATTTTCATTAACTAATTAGTTTCAGCTGTGGGGAGTTCTTACAAATATCGATATTGATAGGGTGAGATCATCTGAAACTCAAAGCAGGAATACATATATGCACTTCTATATACGTCAAGGGTCGCCCTGATGTGTGAAGTGCTTATTCGCAAGCTCAGGTATCGTACTTGACTCCGTGGGCAGCATGATGCAGCCGACATCTCTCCGAGGGTTCTCCACTTCCTAGTACGGAGTCGAGGGAAATCCCAGGCCCAGAACCCCCGCACTCTGCCAAGACGCAACGTTTGAGATAAGATCACCATATGACTGTCAAAAAAGGAAATGCACTACAAAGATCGTCCAAAATAAAGCCGTCCGGAGATAGCAATGGGGCGGATATGTAAATGCAGTGATCTGAATACGGAAGTATAAGGTTGACCTTGAGAGGCAATTTCGGAGGTACAGTACTTTGGGCAACCAATTGCGACTTCAGAAGGACAACGGACACACTATTTTATCCTCCAACGCGCATCAACTAACTACTTTAGGTCTATATGCCGCCGACTGCAATTCTCAATTGGCTTGTATAGTATCATCCACACCTGTCACATGATTCATGATATTACCATGACACCATGCAAAAGTACCTTTCTATATTTAGTGGATACGGAGGATAAAAAGGTGCGTCTGTGGTCTTTTCAAGTCGCAATCAGTGATCTGTCTTTCACTCTGGTCACAGTCCCCTAGTATTGAAAGTTGAAGCTGCTTAAAATGACCACGGACGCCAAAATATTGGATTTTTCTGTGAGTCTCTCTACAAGCGTCATGACATTGATCCTCCGACTTATCATTGCTGGAATAGACATTCCATAATGTGATCAATAATCAATTGACCACAACAACGGAAACCCGGCATGGTATCAACCCTGCCAACACTCAGCCTAATCCACCCGTACCAGTTTCGACCCAGGATGACCTTGACAAATCCGTAAAGGCAGCTCAAGATGCTTTCAAGGGCTGGGCCAAGACCTCTTTTGAAGAGCGACGTAAAGCCCTGCATGCCTGGGCCGATGCCATTGATGATAATGCCGCCGGATTCGCACAAACCCTCACAATGGAACAAGGAAAATCATTGACTCAATCATTTTCGGAGGTGAATATGGCAGGTAAATGGATTCGTGGTCTCATCGCTATTGAGATTAGCGACAATGTCATCGAGGAAACAGAAGACAGGAAGATTGTTCAACGCCATACACCCATTGGCGTGGTGGGTGCCATTGTCCCCTGGAACTTCCCTGTCCTTCTGGCTGTCGGCAAAATAACTTCTGCGGTATACACCGGAAACACCGTTATTTTGAAGCCGTCTCCTTTCACACCTTACTGCGACTTGAAGCTGGCCGAGCTTGCCGCCAACTTCTTCCCTCCTGGCGTGATCCAATGCCTGAGCGGCGATGAGTCCCTCGGCCCGTTGTTCACTGCTCACCCACGAATTGAGAAAATAAGCTTCACTGGATCAACTCTCACTGGAAAGCGGGTTATGGCTGCATGTGCCACAACTCTCAAGCGAGTTACCCTGGAACTGGGTGGCAATGACCCGGCAATTATCTGCGACGATGTTGATATTGATGTTATTATCCCCAAGATTGGACTTCTTTCTTATCTGTGCAGCTCGCAGGTCTGCATGATGATCAAGCGACTTTATGTCCACGAGAAGATCTACGACGAGTTCTTGGAGAAATTAGTCACGTTTGTCAAGACTCTGAAAGTCGGCGAGGGCACCGATGCGGATACCTTCTTTGGACCTGTTCAGAATCAGATGCAATATGACAAAGCCAGAAACCTGTTCAGCAGTATCGATACTGAAAAACTGAAAGTTGCGCTTGGAGGCTCGATCGAGAAGTCTTCCGGGTACTTTATCCATCCAACCATCATCGACAATCCGCCGGAGACATCGCGCGTGGTACAGGAAGAGCCATTTGCTCCCATCCTGCCCATCCTGAAATGGTCTGACGAGAAAGATGTCCTTGAGCGTGCGAATGCCTTGGATACCGGATTGGGCTCTTCTGTCTGGAGTAAGGATTTCGAACGCGCAACTCGCATGGCAGATCAACTCCAATCTGGTTGCGTGTGGGTAAACAGCCACTTTGACGTGGCGCCCAATACACCCCTTGGTGGCCACAAGCAGAGTGGCATGGGCGTGGAATGGGGTCTTGATGGTCTGCTTGAGTATTGCAATTCGCAGACTCAGTGGTTGAAGAAGAGTTTCTAGTTTGTAGTTTGTGTCTAGTTTTGAATAAGACAGTTAAATGCCAACACCAAAAAATTCGAAAGACTTTGCTTCAGAGATTGCACCGTACTAGTTCGTTCGCCCACTTTCCTGAATATCGGAGATCTCCCCAGAGAAATGTGTCAATTCTGAGATTCATTTGTTATCTTATCACGCCCCTCGCGGATCTTTTCGTCCATCGGCAGACTCCGTCTTGTGTTTCGTCTCACGTGAGGGTATGGAAATTGACGATAAAAATGGCTGAGGGGTCTTCTGGGCGAAATCCCATTGAATTTTGCAATTCGACTAGGAACGCCCATCAGACGATTCGCCATGCTGTACACCCATGCAACGATTGTGACCGTGGATGCCTCGCGCCGAATAATCACCGATGGAGCAATCCACGTAGTCGGCGATGTCATCGTGGATATTGGCAAGACAGATATCCTTAAAGAAAAGCATACAACCGATGAAGAGTGCGATCTCTCCGGTCGGATTATCATTCCGGGATTGATTTCCACCCATATGCACACGGCACAGACACTCCTACGAGGTGCAGCCGACGACCTCGAGCTGGTGTCGTGGTTATGCGAAAGGATTTGGGTTCTCCAGGGTAACTTCACGGCACAGGACGGGTACGCTGCAGCACGATTGAGTATCGGAGAGATGCTTAAATCGGGAACCACCTGCTTCTTGGAGAGCATGGTATTGTAATCCGTGGATGCCATTTAATACCCTGAGATTGACATGAATACAGTTTGCCGATCGATATGGCTTTGACGGGCTATGTCGCGCCGTCGAGGAGAGTGGCATCCGTGGCTGTCTAGGTAAGATTGTCATGGACATTGCAAAATATGCCAAAGATGACGCCTGGGCCATGCATCCTGGCCTTGTTGAGAACCGTGAAACATCATTGCTTGGAACTTTGAAGATGTGGGAGAAGTGGAATGGTGCGGCCGATGATAGAATCAGAGTTTGGTTTGGAGCCAGGACTCCCGGAGGGTATGAGACGAGACTGTTATTGAGTATCACTTTCTAATGATAAACCAGAGTATCGGACGCACTTTATAAGGAAATGACCGCTATTTCCAAGGACAAGGGTATACCCCTTACCATGCATTGCGCTGAGGTCAAGGCCGATCGGGATTTCTTCGATTCGGTCTCGCACACCCCGATGTCATATTGCAAATCAGTTGGTTTGCTGAGTGACTCCACGGTCCTGGTGCATATGGTTCATTTGGATGACTCGGACATTGAGTAAGATATAGAACATATGAATTGATATAACGGATGCTGACGATATCATGAAGACTCCTTTCTTCTTCGGGAACGCATGTCGCACACTGCCCAACATCTAATGCAAAGGTAAGTTTTATTGCCGTCTGGTTTATATACGGTTGGAACTTAACGATCTAACAATGTCTAGCTTGCGTCCGGAATCTGCAGGGTGCCAGATCTGCAAGATGCTGGAGTCAATATTGGTCTGGGTACCGATGGTGCCCCGTGTAACAATACATGTGATCTTTTGCAGGAGATGAAATTGGCCGCTATTATTCATAAAGGGATCTCGCAGGATCCCACGGTAGTTCCAGCCGAAAACGTGTTGGAGATGGCTACAATTAACGGCGCCAAAGCACTGGGCTTGGATAACCAGATCGGCAGTCTGGAAATTGGTAAGAAGGCTGATTTTGTGGCCATCGATGTTCGAGGAATCCACAGCCAGCCTTGGTTCAATCCGGTCAGCGCAGTTGTTTATACTGCAACTGGGCGAGACGTCGATGTTGTTGTGGTCAATGGGAAGGTTGTGGTCAAGAATGGAGTGCTTATGACGATGAATGAGGAGGAAATTGTTCAGGAAGCACAAAGAAGAAGCAAAGAGGTAGTGGATAGAGCTGGATTGGGCAAGAAAGTTCAGGGCCGCTGGCCAGTGGAGTGATCAAACGAAGATTCAACTTTCAGGATTTTTGTTTTCATTCTATTATCTAACAAGTCAGTTCATGCGAGGACCATGCCTCTATATAGGTCTATGATCTAGGTCATAGCACATTCCATTGCTATTCAAGTCATTAGGACATGCCTTGCTTACAACAAACCACGCAACGCTTCGCCCAAAGCCATAATAGCCATAGCCTGGCCATAAGGCATTGAGGTCAATGGAATCTTCTTATAAAAGTCAAGACAGTCACCCATCCCGGTGCCAAAGCTGGTATTCTGCAATTCTCCTTTCTCGTCCACGTATCCCATCACTGCGCTGATAGCCTTCTCAGCCACGGGGCGGTATTGGGCACCGATGTAACGTTTCCGAACGGCCTTGAGGATACCGTAGGCAAAGCCAGCGGTCGCAGAGGCTTCCAAGTACGAGTCGGGATGGTCAAGGAGAGTGTGCCACGCGCCGGATGACGACTGAAGACGCTGAAGGGCCTCACACTGTGCCTCGAGTGTATCTATCAGGTGAAGACGAATAGGGTCATTTGGTTGGAGGTCGAGTAGCTCGATGATCTCGGGAATGACAATTGTGACCCAGCTGTTGCCACGGGCCCAGCGCGCATCTGCAAAATTGTGTCCGCCGTCCTCAAAAGTCCAGCCGTGAAACCAGAGACCAGTCTTTGTATCGAAAAGATATTTAATGTGAGTGAGGAATTGCTTTTTCGCCTCTTCGATATATTGGGGTCGGTTCAGAAGCTTTCCGATCTTCGCGAGTGGCATAACAGTCATCATCAAAGTATCATCCCAGAGCTGCTGGTAGTTCTCTGTGATATAAGTCATATGCTGCATGCCACCGTAGCGGGTGCGGGGGAGATCGTGCATCGCCCACTCAGCCCACGCATCGAGCCACGGCAGGTAGGTGACATTGCCGGTCTTCTCATAGACGTAGGCGAGAGTCAAAAACACAGCCATTGTGTTGATATTCTTGGTAGTGCCACCCTCGGCAAATCGTGCAGCAAACCAGTCTTCGATGATGCGCAACAATCTTTCGTCGCCCGTCAACTCGTAGTATTTCCACACGCCGTACAGTCCAATTCCGTGTGTCCACTCCCAACCCTGCCATGACTTTGTGTCGATAATGCGCCCATCAGGAAGTGGCAGTAGGAATGTTCCTGTCTCGTCTTTGATATTGACCAAGTTATCAATCAACAGGTTGACGGCGTTGTGAATTTGGGCGCCCGTAGGCTGAGGGGACGACATTGTGTGATGCTGGGAGACTGTTCTCTGTATTTTCGACGAATAAGAGTTTCCACACTTTTTGTCCGGGAAACAAAATATTATGTGCCGGAAGCTCCAATCCTCGCAAAGATTGGCAAGAGTTCTTCCACTAGTAAGCTCTTGGGTCAAACGCCACGAAGCATCCCCGTGGGGGCCAAGCGTGATTCGGGCGAAAGAAGGCCGAGTTGCAAACCATAAAAATACCTTAAAAGTGTATTTATCCAGATCCACAGCAATGAGCCACGTATGTTCGGCTATCGGGCTAATAGATCCCCGGATTCCCCAGCGCGGGGAGAAGACTAGCGTGAAGCCTCCTCGTTCGCCAAGAAAGCCGGGGAAGCAAAGGAGAATGGGGTGACCGCTTGACTTGGTTGAACGGAATCTGACTTCCGGTTAATATCATAGACCTAGCTACCGAAAGGGCCACATGACTCTTTCAGCCTAATCATCTCACATGTAGTTAGAGCGACTTCTAGTTGGGATCATGCACGGCCCTGGCAACAAAAGCGCGGCACATTATTTATAAGTCCGACCTGTCTCCCCTAGTGAACCGTCTTTTTGCACATACTGCGTTTATTTTGTCATGGCCGACGGCAGAGATGACCCCCAGCAGGGGATTGAGAGCGTACCTGTTGAGGGAACCGAGGCAGTGAATAAACAGCACCCAAAAGTTGATATGGGAGAGTACGAGAACAAACAAGACATCTCGCACGTTGAACAGGTTCTCTCGGCATCCGATGATCTTGCAAAAGATAACATGGATATCACCCGTGTGGACAAGGAAATCCAAGCATATGCCGCCCACAGTCAGGTGGAAATCGACGATGCCACAAATATACGCCTCAAACGCATGATTGATCGCCGCATTCTTGTTGTTATGATTTGCACATATTTCCTACAGGCTTTGGACAAGGGAACTATGTCCTTCTCGGCTATTATGGGGATTAAGGATGACGCACATCTGAAGGATGGGCAGAAGGTATGGAATACTTGTGAAGCTTTTCTCTCCATCAGCATGCTAAATTCACTCCTACCGGTAGTACTCCTGGTTGACCACGTGTATTTACATCGCTGTACTTATCGTCGAATATCCCACCAACTGGATCATCCAAAGAGTCCCACTCGGCAAGTACCTGGGCATCAACATCTGCCTGTGGGGTATGATTCTGGCACTCCATTCAGTCTGCAAGAACTTCACTGGATTGGTCATTGTTCGCACCCTCCTGGGTATCTTTGAGGCTTGCTGTCAGCCCATTTTCGTCACTCTTTCCTCGATGTGGTATAAGCGGGAAGAACAAGCGGCCACGGTAACATACTGGTATGTGAATACTCGTCTACCAGGCAGTGCACATTGAGCTAATGGTAAAATAGGTACATGATGAACGGTGCCCAGCAGATTGTCGGCGGACTATTGGCATACTGTTTCACCCTTATTGGGGCAGACAAGGTGCTCAAGTCTTGGCAAGCACTCTTTCTGGCATATGGCTGTATCTCCGTTATCTGGGGACTCTTCGTCATTTGGTGGATGCCTGACTCCCCTATGCGTGCGAAGTGCTTCACCGAGGAAGACAAACGTCTCATGGTAGAACGTCTTCGTTCCAATCAGACAGGTATCCAGAACAGAAAGTTTCATGCATACCAGATGTGGGAGGCTTTCTGCGATCCCCAGATGTGGTGCTACTGTGCTGTTCAAATATTCACCACCCTCCCTACCAGCGGTCTAGGTGCATTCTTCAGTATCGTTGTTTTGAGCTTCAACTTTACCGTATTGCAAACTCAGCTACTTGCTATGGTGCTGGGTGCTTATATTATTGTTGTTCTGTTGTCGTCTGCATGGCTGGTCAACAGATTCAAACAGAATACGATCGTGATGTTGTGCTTCATCATTCCGTACGTTTTTCCCCTTTGTTTTGCTGCGAGGCCAGACTGACAGTTCACAGGTCTTTTATCGGAACTATCGTCCTTATGACGGTCGAAAACACTACTTTGCCCACTAAGGTGGGCCTTCTGATTAGTTACTACATTACTCTGTCATTCTGGTCGGCCCAAACTCTCACGTTATCTATGGTGTCGCGAAATATTGCTGGTCAAACTAAGAAGTCCACCGTGGTAGCTGCAACATTTGTGTCATGGGCCGCTGGAAACGCAATTGGTAAGTATCTCAGCTTCCCTGTGGAGCAGTTTAGTTCCTAGCTAACAGATTAAAGGCCCTCAAGTGTTCCTTGACAGGGATGCACCACGGTACCACATTGCATGGAGTGTCCATCTGGCTTGCTACGCCTGTATGGTTTCCGCTGTCATCTACCTACGCTTCCATCTCAAGCGCGAGAACGCCAAGAAGGATAAGCTGTTGGCTGAGGCGGGTCTCAGTGCCGCAGATCCAACCCTCATTCATGCATTCGAGGATAAGACGGACCGGGAGAATTTGAACTTCCGCTACGTTTACTAGATACGCAATATATTTGCGTTCGTGTGCAAATTTCTTCTAGGTTTACTTGCTCGGCTTAGCTTTGTTCAATTATATCTTCAAAAATTGCATTCTAGACACATTTCCCAGCATCACGAATAGAATTTCGAATGTCTCGGTTTATAGTATTTCCGGCGTATTTAGCGGAGAATTGTAGGGCGGTGGAAAAGGCGGTATGTAGAAATAGCCAATCATTTCATGGTCCCGATTTGGCCGTTGCCCCGTACTACGAGTTCCAAGGTCCAATTAAAGCTATCAAGCCACCTAGTACTCCGTATGCACCTCCATCTACAGTCTAAACCCAGAACCCCGCAGTCTATAAACAATCATATCGCATGATTAGACAGTCTATTTGACCTTGAACATATTTCGAACTTACCCACGTGGAAACCCCTTAGCTTGAGGTTGTCGATTGGAACCTCCCGGCGGAAATGTGAAGCCGATGGTAAATATGTCAACGCGGCAACTCGCAAGACTTTCACGGAGTTATTACCTCACTCTCGGTACGGAGTAGTTTTCTCCGTCTTGGCGCTAGATCAATGGGTTCAGATATCACTATGTTGCTCGTGGAGGTATCAATATCTCGCATCCATCATTTTTCCCTTGTCTTTCACCCAGTCGCCAGTTTTCGACAATGAGATTGATCAAGAATGAACATCACAAATTCATAATGGAATAACAGGGCTTGAATAATAATACCCTATATTCTTTCGACGGCGCATCTCCTAAACTAGTGCCAAGGGCGCCTACCGACACTCCAAACCGGCCAGTGTGTCAGGTTCTCTTCCAAAACAACCACAGCTTCATGCGTCTGACCTGACCCCTGGTTGCATTGCATGATTACTTCTTCTTGATGGATATAGATCCTGAGCTATCTCGACACGGAGTCAGCGCGACCCCGCTGGTGGCGTTGTGACTCCTTGCGAAAATACCCCTTGGCTTGTCCTTCTCTGTGCAGAATGATCACTTTGGTCCTAAATTTGCGTATAGTGTATCCGATTGGTCTTTATTCCTGGTACTAGTGAAATTCTCAATCCGAGACAGATTAGAGGTATTGACCAGGAGCACAGCACATGAAACCAAGTTGTACTCCTTTAGATCACTATAAATATGACCGTCTTCTGTTGCCTAATTCCCACTCAACGCATCTAGTTCTTTGAGAATCCGGCTTGTTCAATCTGTTTATTCCAATAAATCCGCAATGTATAGCCTTCTCGGCTCCGCTCTGTTTGTGTCTCTCGTTGCGGGCCATGGTCACGTAACCAACATCGTTATTAACGGTGTCTCCTTCGATGGATGGGACATAAACAGTTATCCTTATACAGACTCGCCTCCAGTTGTGGTGGCTTGGGGTACCCCAAACACTGCCAATGGTTTCATCGCTCCGGGTATGGTATTCTATTATTGTCCTCTCTGACCAAGACCAATTTCCTTTCTAACTCTGCAAATCTAGATGCCTACACGACCTCTGATATTATCTGCCATCTTAACGCTACGAATGCTAAAGGTCACGCGGTAGTAGCTGCCGGTGACCGAGTCTTTATTCAGTGGACTGCCGACTGGCCGGAATCGCATCATGGACCGATCGTTGATTATCTTGCTAGTTGCGGCACGAGTGGCTGTGAAACTGTGGATAAAACCACGCTCGAGTTCTTCAAGATCGACGCCGTCGGACTAATTGATGACACAACCGTTCCCGGTACTTGGGCTGATGATCAGCTCATAGCCCAGAACTCGGGATGGATGGTCGAGATTCCTCCCAACATCGCACCTGGGAGTTATGTTTTGAGACACGAATTGTACGTAAATCCCACTCATTTATCGAAAAAGTTGCGCTAACTAACCTTGCTGTGAAGGATCGCACTCCATAGCGCAGGCACTGAGGGTGGTGCCCAAAATTATCCCCAATGCTTCAACCTTCAAATCACTGGCTCGGGGTCAGATCAGCCAGCAGGTATCTTAGCTACTGATCTGTACAATCCAACGGATCCTGGAATCCTCGTGAACATTTACACGTCTCTGTCAACCTATGTGAGTGATTAATTGGCATGATGGTTTGCTGAGATTTCGCACTCCCTTGCTAATATCACTTTATTCAGACTATCCCAGGACCAACTCTTTACAGTGGTGCCGTCTCAATCACACAAACCACCTCTGCAATCACCGCCTCAGGTACACCTGTGACAGGGACGGGTGTTACGACCGGCGGAACCACTACAACCTCAACCTCAACCTCCAAGGCCACCACCACAACGCTAGTGACTACCACGACGAGCACTACGAGTGCTACCACGACGAACACTACGAGCGCTATCACGACGACCACTACCAGTGCTACCACTAGTACTTCTTCTGCTGGCGGGGACGGAGCGTCCCAGACTCTCTACGGTCAGTGTGGAGGAACCGGTTGGACAGGAGCAACCGCATGTGCATCGTCTGCAGCCTGTTCTTCGATGAACCCGTGGTATTATCAGTGTCTTCCGACTGCTGCTTGAATTGATATGGCACAATGCTCGAATAAAACCTGTCACAGAATGGTGTATTCAAAGTATGAGCAGAAAATGATTGCAACTGATAAAGCCTATATAGTTGACGCACTATCGGCTAGGGGGAAGGACTCTAGTAGTTAGAGGAAGATTTATCCAATTACTTTGGACACTTGTAACCTTGTCATAGTATTTTATTCGCATTCACTACCTACTGGTTTATTCCAAGTAGGCGACAGTAAGCAGTTCATAACAACTCTTTCTTGAACACGATCTAGCTCAAAAAGTTGCCTTTGCTAGGTTGGAGGCAAAGTTTCCGTCGTCGAAGGGAACGTTCGCTGCTCCAAAATCAGTTGTATCCAGGGCATCTTGCACGACAGCTTAAGAATATGTTAGATTGCGCTTCCAGAAGTTGGGGGTATATTTAGATAACTTACTTGACAATGATTCCCAGGCAACCAACGGCTGTGTGCCGCCCACAGTGGTTGTCAGGCCGAGAGAATGATTAACAGGCCAGATGGACTGGTACTTGATCAGAGAGGCGGTCCCATCAAGCGTGTAGCCATCTGTACTGCAGTTCCAGTCACCGTGTGCTGATGGACAGACGGCCACAATGTTCGATGCAGTGGTACTTCCATCACTGGAAAGCCAGATAATAACTCCTTCCCAATCATGGCGATGGCCGAGATCAGTCGAAGGCGAATCCTTGGGGAAATACCAGGAATACATCAGGGCATAGTAGTTGCCTGAAGAAGCGCCTCTCACTGTAAATTGCAAATAGAAGCCCTTTAGTCAATGTACCCAGGGCCAGGTATTCAATAGATAATTCTAGAGAAACTCACCGTATATCTGCCCTGTGCTCGTACTGCAATCACCATTTGAGCTTCCTGTTGGGCTGAGGCCGGCGCTACATCACAGATATTAGATATGGGAGTCCAGGAGATCGTTAAAGAGGAGATTATTTCGCTCACTTGGTGTTCCCTTCTGCATCAACGGCCGGGAAAGGCACGCAGCCATTGACAACATAAAGCTTTGGCTGGTAGGCCAAATAGAGGTCTCCAACGGCACCAGCTGGAACTGTCTGGGGGAATCCGACAATTGCGTCGGATGCAACTGTTCCTCGACGTGTCAGCTCAACCGGGCTAGCCGTCACAGGCAGAGCAGTGAGAGCAGCCAGTCCAGCTATCAGTTGAGGAATCATGTTGAAATTGAAAGCAGGCATACTAAGCTCGTGCTATGAGTAAACTGGTTTCCTTCTAAATATTTATATTGTACATGTGGTATTCATCCCTTTCGATCGGCATCCGGGCCACTTTCTTCAGGCAGTTTAGTCCGGTGGAAACGGTCTTCAGTCCCAATGCAGCTTAGTGAGTGATAATAGAGTCTGTCCTAAATTAGATTGTTGTTCGCCCGTGGGATCGACAGGCCCGGTGATTCGTTTCGTTACGTCTCTCCAACCCAAAAAATCCACACCCCACAAGCTGACGCAATTTATCTGCTTGCCAAACGGGTATCTATGCTTAATTGAAGCTAGTTTAGATTTGAGTAAATAGTAGCGGTCTTTATGCACCTTGGCAGAGATCTAATATTCTCTTGAACAATACACCATGGTTGAATATAACACGTGGTGATGATCAACATGATCGGCACGTTCTTGGCACCACTGTTTTTTTACACCAATCACGGTAGACAAGTCAGGAAATTCCCCAGCTTCTTCAAAACAATCCCCTGCATCTCAGCGTCGGCATCGTTCTTCGAAGCTGCTATCCCCACTGAGACACTTGCATAGCACCCAGACGCTAGGGATACTTCAACTTCGCTTGGCAATCTCGATTTGCCACACGTGGTCACATCATTCGGAGTAAGAAATGGGACTGCGATATGGATGCGGGACAGAACGAAAGAGAAATCGGCCGGGCTTGTGCATTCGTCGGAAACCTTTCCGAAATTGACGTTCAGCCAGACATCGTCCGGCAGGTATGGTTTACCAGCAGCAACCACCTGGTTAGTTAAGTTGGTTGCCAAATCGGCGTAGACATCACTGTAGTGAGGCCGCGAGCTTTCCCACGAAGTCTGAGAGCCACTAGCACCGGAGAAAGCTATAGCTGGGATTCCATCATGCGCAGCGTAGGTGGCAGCGCCCACTGTTCCGGAGAAGTAAACTGTGAGGCCAATGTTATTGCCGACATTTGGACCTGTGACAGCCAAGTCAGGGGGGCCGTTGAAGAATTTAGGGGCACGCGTATTGATGCCATATTGGATTGATGTCACCGGGTAGCTATTGACATAACCCAGTCGGGGCTATTCAAGTATACGATCAGTCTACCGTTCTGGTAACAGCGGTGACGATACTGACCTCTGAGGAATTGAATCCCACGGCCGGGCTGCCAGATGGGCAGCTATTGAACTCGCATGGCTCAGTCAAGACAGTTGGCTCTGCTTCCATTGACCCTGTAGTGGCGCGTCAATAAAAGGGCGGAATGTACGGAGTAGAGAGGTAGGCATAACATACCCTTGCCACTCTGATTCTCAGCGGGCGCAGATACCACAACTGAATGGTCTGCCGCTCCTAGGGACTCGAATAGAGCGCGGATGTTCACTTCCGCCCAGCCGTCATCATTGGATGAGATGATGTTGACCGCGCTAGCAGCCAGAGGGAGTATCGCAAGAATATCGAACCGCATATTCAAGACATCCAGGGGCGTTGATACAGTGTAGAATCCAGGGGGTTGTTTGGCTGCTACTTGTCCTCCTCAACACGTGGGTTGTCGATCTTACTGGAAACCTCGGAGGAACCTCGGGATCCGCCAACTGCCGTAGTCAACGGCTCAATCCGCAAACAGACGAGCAGAAATTGAAATGGTAGATCATGTACTCTGTGACGTTTGAATTCAGCATCAAACATTTAAATAAGTTTAATTATGGTGGTGGGACGATGTAGACGAAAATCACATCCATGAATCTCGAAATATATATTGCGCAACCTCAGCTCCGTAGGCCAACTGACCATCGACTATCTTACAACACAGCAAGTGGAAAGCAAATTGGTTACACAAGAAACTTATCGTGTAAATGTACCTCTAGAAGTTGAAATTTATCTATGGATGATGCCGACACTAACTTAAAAACGCCCTATGGTCGGCTTGGTCGCCATCTCTCATTCAGAACGAGCACTCTTAGTCTTCTTGCTCCTCAGCTTCATCATCAAAAATACCAAGGCGTAAGATGAGATGCAAAATAGGGCAGTGAGACCCGTCTAGAAGAACAATTAGCATCGCAATATAGGCTAGATAAAGCAGGGTATACTCACATCTCTCCACGAATAGTATTTCTCTTGAAGATTGAACGACTTCGCATAATCGGAACCTTCCGAATACGGACAGAAGGAACACATCCCAGTCGAGGTCTCATCATCTAGGTAACCAGTCTGTGAGGCGAGGAAGTTGGCCATGTATTGGCCGCAGGTCTGACCAGACGGTGCGGTGAACTGCACAAATTCCGATGCTTCGCACTTGACCTTGACATCCCAGATCACTTCGCCAAATAGCCCACCAACCAAGTAGTGGAAAGGGTCCAGGTAGTAAATCCAGTAACGCCAAAATGGCTGCATAAGGGAGTAAGGAACCACCACGCCACAGAAACTGACCAGGCCGGCACCAATCAGGACGGGGTTCATCACTGCCGCGAAATACTCGTTCGGTGCATAGGCCGCAATTGCCTGGCCAATGGATGTGTATAGGAGCTCATAGACTGTCTTGATGTTAGATACTTGGACAAATGCTCGTTGAATACTTGGTGTATCTTACAAATCATCTGAAGATAGACATGTCCGGAAACACTGGCCTCCACCGGAAGCCCTGCTGTGAAGTACCAGCATGCAAAATATAGTGTGGCGCAAATGATAAGGTATGGAATCTCCGTCAGGGTCTGTGCTCCAATGAAGGCGCTCCAATGATAGGTTTTCGACTATATGGACACCGGGGTTAGCGATACTTGCACGGCAGTAGGATTCCACTAGCGCACTGACCTTTTTCTCTCGGGTCTCAAAAATGTCACGACTATGCAAGAAGAACGGCTGCATTTGGTTGATACAGCCTGGGGCGACGAAGATGAAGTTGAAAATGGCAAACAGTCTCAACTGCAGGGAGAAAGTGCCGTTTCCAATCTTCCAGAAGGTGAATCCACTGAAAAGTGCTGCAAAAATATGGAGAAAGACCTTGTTCCACATGTAGTCCTATATGAAGGTCAGCCTGTGTGACCTGGTTTGTATGACATTGCAGCAACGTACTGGTGAACGCCAGATATGAATGCTGAGGCGCTTAGAAACCGTCTTGAATTGGAACCAGTGTGAGGTCGCAAAATCTGCAGTATCTTCAACATATTCGGAATCATCTTTGCTGCTTTCGTTGAGAGCATCAAGTTTTGAGAGCGCTTGTTTGCGCTCTTCTGACTGGTTCCAGATTTCGATCCAATCTTGTTTTTCTGCAGTACCACCGCCTTGAACGACATCAATAATGTGCTCTGCTGGATTGGCATCGAGGGGGCATGGCGCTCCGTTCCGGGCGAAGTAGTCCAAAATCGTGGTTGACTCCTTGCCAGCTATAACCACAAATGAGTCATTAGTTGCCTGATCATGACCAATCACCCCAAAATTTAAAACTCACTTTCTCCGAAATATGTCATTTTTCCGCCCTTAGCTAGTAAGAGAAGACCGTCAAATGCGTCGAATAATACTGCAGATGGTTGATGGATTGTACACTAACACATTAGTAAGATGAAAATATGTTTCAAGTTATTTAGGACTTACCAACACGGCTTGGCCGCCATCGACCAGTTTGCGAAGGAAACGCACAATGTTGAACGCACTTTGCCCATCAAGACCGGAAGTGGGTTCATCCAAAAACAGCAGTGTGGGCTTAGCAACAAGCTCAACGCCCAGGGTCACGCGTTTGCGCTGTTCGATGCTAAGTCCAGCTCCGGGTACTGTGAATAATCAGTATCGCTGTGCAGTGAAATCAAGACACCAGGCGAACATACCCCCGATTAGGGCTTCGCTGATATCACGCAGCTCCAGAAGGTCGATAATGTGTTCGACGTAAGCGATCTTTTCTTCGTGTGGAACCGTCGATGGCTGGCGAAGGACGGCCGAAAAGTCCAATGCCTCCTTGACGGTGGCTGTTTCGAGATGTACATCCATCTGTTCACAGTAACCAGTAGTTCGCTGGAAGCTGATTCCGACTGGGCGGCCGTCAATCAAGACTGATCCGTAGATTTCTCCGCTATCCTTGCGCTGAGCAAGGACATCCAACAAAGTTGTTTTTCCGGCTCCAGAAGCTCCCATAAGGGCAACCAGGTTTCCAGGTTGGACAAATCCAAACACCTTGCTCAGAAGCTGTTTCTTCTCACCATGGAAAGGTACATGATAGTCAAGATCTTTCCATGTGAAGGTTGACTGCTTGACCGAGCCTAAAAGTGCGCCAGCATCTGCCTCCTTTGGCTTCTCACCTTCTTCCTTTCCACGAGTCTTCTCACTGCCACGCTTGTAAAGTAGAACAGATGATCCACTTTGGCTGTTCCGGAGTTCAAGCCCGCAAGAAGTCAGAAAGATGAAAAAAAACCAAAAACCAATCAAAATACCAAAGCTTCTCCAGATGTGATGCACTGAATAACTGTATTGCTCTTGAATGTATTTTGCCCCATCAATAATACCTTCATCGTCACTTCCAAGGACTGAACATCCACGGTGGACAGACACTGAGCTGGAGTATCCGGTGCCGTATGGAAGATAGTCGGGCTCTATGCAAGTGAATTTGCGTCCAACAAATTCATTGGCCATGAGCGCTTCGAATGCATACGCTCCCGGATTGAGGTAGAAGATCCAACGGAACCACACATGCATTTTATGGAAAGGAATAAGGTATCCTGCAACTTGTCAGTTTGAAATGCTTCGTATCAATGCTGTTCAAATACTGACCTCCATAGACAAAGAAGACGGTGGACAGTAAGCCAGATACTTTAGATGCATTTCCAAACTGTTTGCACACAGCGCCAACGGCTCGGAATAATTGTACAAAACACAATGTCTGTGCAATGACAATGATCCAAAATGTGAAGAACTTTCCTGCGTTCATTTGAAGAGAAGCCATGAAGTAAAGGATGAGCGAGAAGCAGGTCACCTGGAACACCACGACTGGGATATCAGTGATGGCGTTGGCAATAGCGAAGGCCGTAGGTCGGTAAAATCCGAATCGCTTCTGACGAGAAAGAATTGGCCGGCCCATGAAAGAAGCAGTCGTTTCAGACAGACTTTCAAGGAGAAAATACAACACTGGAAAGAAGCAAACACCGGGTCGTAAGAATATTGAGCTCGAATCCTTGTAGTTTCAACTGTCAGCCAGGTGTTCTTGGGTCGTGTCGGGTGGAGAGCTTCTGGATTACTTACTTCTGCCAAGTTATAGAATAAACTTCCACAGACTAGAGCCTGTATTATAGCTGACCCGACTTTCACAAATAGCGACAGTTTATCGCCCCAGATAACCTGAAACTGACGAAGAGCACAAGCGGCAATTTGATCACAGAGATTGGCTGTGTAAACACTGTTGTTCCGAGGAATATGCTGTTTGCGCTTTTCACTAGATACTGCCATCTTAAGGTCTTCGGCTTCGTAGCTCAGCTTCTGAGGGTCCACGATAGAATTTATTTGATCTTTGCAGATTGAGCTGTTTTGATAGCAGATTTCGAAGTCTTCCGGTGTATTGGGCACCTTCTCTTCCCACCCGGGTCTGACTGTGCGTTCCGTAACGACAGTGACTGATGTCAGGAAGTCCGCGACATTTGCGCCCTTGGGGCAGATGAATCCAAGGTCTTCAAAATACTTCCTTGCGATACGGCGAGGGCCGTAGTAAGTGACACGACCTTCAGCTAGGACAAGGACCTTGTCGAACTGGTCATAAATACCGTTTCCGGCTTGGTAAGTAGTCGTAATGATTGTCTTGTCGTTTCGATCCGCTTCGCGTCTGAGCATTCGAGCAAATTCCACAGCTGATTTCGAATCTAATCCCCGAGTGGGATTGTCCCACATCTGGACTGGACTTTGCCCAGCCAGGACCTCAGCAAGAGAAACGCGCTTACGTTCACCTCCTGACACGCCTCGGATATACTCGTTTCCTACTAGGTTCTTCTTGGTGTGTCCGATTCCTAGTGAGTCCAGAATCTCATCACGATGATTCTGCACAAAGTCCTTGCGGTTCCTTAGGTGCTCTGGGCGCTCATTGGGAACCTTGTTTCGAAGGGCGAATTTCATTGTACGGTTGACAGTTAGGGTTGGGAAGTGAACGTCGTCTGTGGTGCAGTTAGCATTGAGCTCGATATATCTTAAGTGAAGATTGCATGCCTTCGTTGTTGAACATGATCTGCTGACGGAACCTTTTGGCAGCTTCGTGATCCATGCTCCCGTAGTTGACTTCGCCGGTCACTTCATCAAAACTATCCCGATCATTGGAGAGGACTCTGAGTAGGGAAGTGCATCCAGAGCCTGGGCGCCCAAGCACGAGAAGCTATATTGATTAGTTACAACATTCCTATTCTCGAGTTGTGGCAGCATACCATTTCCCCAGGCTTGACCTGACCGACAACATCTTTGAGGATCGTCTAGAAATCAAGTCAGTATAGGATAACTGGAATCATAGTAAAGTATGCCCACCCTCTTTGGGCGGGCGCCACGCTTGAACAGTGCCCCAATCTGTCGCGGGTCCACCTCTGACCATAAAGTGCTTCCTAAAGCAGCCTCGGGTGCCGTAACTCGAACGTTAAGATCGCGGAAGGTGACTGTAAGCCGTTTGCGAATCTGGTCATCGCCGTGTTCCAAATCAACAGGGGTTGTTGTGCCGGACGATGGAGTTTCCATGACGGAGGTCTGTATTCCTGAAATAGAAACGAACGACTACTTGCGATCGCACCAATTAAAGTGGGATTGGAGGGAAATACCATGATGTCGAGGCGCAGCAGACAGCAGAACTCTTATATTGCGCATCTTATTATGCCATCTATGCTTTAAATCCATATTGCCGAGAGTGGGTCTTGCTAACAGATCATATCAAGCATGTATCGCTGTAGCGGAATTTATAGATAGGGGAAATGCCTTGAAATAGCTAAAAAACTGCAAGTACTATTGTGTTAGCGAGGATATCACTGGGGCGCGGTGCTCGGAAATATACGAACGGATATATGAGCGACCCACTTGGTCAGCAACGATCATTGATTCGCTGATTTTCTATCTCTGCGCCTTTCAGAGCTTCCAGAGCTTCAATTAGATCCACCCTTCGGATATAGATCCACTTGCACCGGTCACCGATTTCTAATTCCGTGGATGATCCCCCTGATTGAGACCAAATATATACAGTTTGAAGGAGTCGTATTCTAGGTTATGAAATTTCCTGGTGTGAGGCCCATCAGAGGACTGGGGCAGAATTTGACTGATAAACCGAAAAAAAAGCGTCCAGGTCCATGGTGGAGAAATCGAAATCCCAGCCCATGTCAGACTGAGTAAAATCAAGCAAGTCTTCCCCGGAGCCCGCAGAGCCTCCGGTCGCCGGATTTTCCAAGGTTTCCACCTGTGGGAGGTTCCAAGGAGAATTTGATATGCCAGGCCGCATTCCTATTGACGGATTCTGAGGAATTGGGGGGTTTTTGGGCAGTAATCGATGCCTGCCGTCAGAAGTGAGCCCTTGCTGTATGGCTGTCCCTCCTGGGGGCGCAATTTTATCCCCAGTTGTTGCTAATAGAGGCACCCATTCGTACGATGGGTTGATATTGCGAAGCACAGTCTGCATGGCTGCAATTGTGCTTGCGATCGGGTCCCCAGCTCGCATAGTTGACAAAATTTGCATTGAAGCATAAACCCATGGCAGGTAGACAGGCGCGACATTCGGGTTGTGAATGAACTCATAGATGAGAGTGAATACCGAATTACCGAAGAAGTACCCATGGTATCGTAATTCCTACGATAATGTTAGTGGAACTTTTATAACAACATTTTGTCTATTTACCAGAACAAGATTATTGAGTCTTGAAGCTTCACATAAGTGATGGAGTGTTTTTTGGGCAGCAGTGATGGCATGGTTGCAGGCTTCGTTGAGCCAAGAAGGTGTTTCTCTGGGGTAATTTGTGACATGGGTTCTAGACTGGTTGAGTGCGATATTCCTCTCGCGCTGCCAATGGCCGCGAAATATCAAGAACTGGCGAAATGTAAGAAGTAATGTATGATAGTATACTAGCTCTGGTCAGAGTAAGGTCAAAAATATGCCGACTATTCACTTACAGGTAATGAAGATTGTTTGTCGAACCCCAAGGGATCCCGCCTGGATGCTACTATCAAGACCAAGACCCAAAGCTTGTTGTAGATGTGCTTCATGGCCACGGATGTCGTCCGCAATAGACCGAGCAACTCTCCACATGTGCAGAAGAGACTCATGCCGCTGGCCGTATATCTCAGTAACAGAACGAGTGATGGTCTTGCAAAGCTGCACCAACAATCGAATAAACGGATCCTGTGGATACTCTATTGCGACATCTTTAAGAGAGATAGAGCTAGGACGTCCCACATGAAAGCAGAACCAGCTATGTATGAAGTTAGCGAGTTCATCAAGTATCGAACTGAAAAGGGTAATTTACGTTTCGTAGATGTAAAGAGACCAGAAAGTTACCCGTCGTTCTTCAATATTTTCCGGGGTTTGATCAACATCATGGGGAACATCCTTATGCAAACCTGCTGCTAAGGCCTTGCGAGAAGCAGAACCCAAATGTAGGAAAGCTGAGTTGGGCCGACCTTGTTCATTCTGGTAATTGGCGTAAAATCCATGTCAGTCTGTAAACAACAAGAAAGGGTGATAAGAACTTATCATATGCAATGAGATTTGGATAGTCTGAAGGTTCACCACATCATCAAACGCGGTTAATGAAGCCTTGACACGCTCAAACAGCACATCACCCCAGGCAAAATGATCCGTGCCAAGTGCCGCGCTTGCCATGGCAAGGAGAAGGATCGCTTGGGCGAAAGCATCTAGATGGTCTGTGGGCGAAGAGTTGTAGAGTTTGTCCAGACATTGCTCATAATATATCTTTGGGCGAAGTGGCATCAGATGATAAAGGCTGGAGAGAAATCGCGACAGAAAAAGCTTAGCCAAGTCGTACGGCAGAAACATCATAGACAAATCTCCTTTCCCGAGGGACTTGTTTTCATGAAAGTCTGGTGTCCCGAAGAAAATGCGACGAAAGCTGAACAAATCCAGCCCAGCTCCAGCCTCCTCGACTCCGCCAGAGGGTTCAGGCTGGGAGGCAGGATTGGAGACGAGATCCCGGTAGATATGCTGCATGAGAGAGAAATGAGATGTGGGGCCATAGTATAGCTGCATCCGACATGACGGTGATGCCATATGTGTTGCAGAAACGCTATTTGGGAAGTCATTCATGACGGAGGCTGTGCGCTGCGGCACTCCAGTTGGAGAAGCTTGACGAGGTGAATTCCTCTCGGTGGCTTCCTCATTCTCATGTTTCTTTCGCCTGTGGCGAATATAGTCTCTGTATATACAGGGTGTGTTGCGCAGTTGGCAAGTTTTGCACCTGATGTTATATTAGCCATGTATTCACTATCCGAGCATAGACCAAAAAATCTCACGGGGTCAGGCCATTGCACTTGATTTTACGTTTGCGGCATTCTTGGCATGCGCGAGGGATTCGCCAACCTGCCTGAGCTTTATCCGATGCCTCAGACATGAATAAATTTGTATGCAATCTCACCTCCTATCTGTGCAGTTCATCCGTTTAATCCGAGGGATTATCCGTATATATCCGGGTCACGTGGTGCTGTGTCATCAAGTCAGATCATGGCGGTGTATCTATCCCACGTCTGCGTACGTTGGAGATCAGAACTAGTTCTCTCCCTGATAAGTTATGTCGAACTCCAGAAGTATCTCCAAGTTCATGATATCTGAATTTGCGCTATTATATCACATGACCTAGCACCTTGTAACAGACGCATCCAAATCCCTACCCGAGGTCGTCCTAAGACGTCGCGCATGAATCACTCCAGTACGGAGTACTCCGTACACTCTTGAAAATAGCCTCAACTCATCCGATGCGAGCAGCTTTGGGACAGCTTCGGGACAAGTTCCGATCGGATGACATCTTTCCGATGCATGTTTCTTGCAAGACTCGGGGTTATGGACGATCACAACGCCTGACCAATTCTGGGGTTATGGTTGGTCACCACGACGACTAAGAGATAGTCAGATGAGGGGATCGGGATTTCCCGTACGAAGTGCCTAGGCTGTACCTAGACTAGGGCTTATAATCCATTCGGATAACCCCACAAAGCCAATGATACAATCCGGGGTGGATCCACAAGTCTGGGGAAATCTCGAAGCATCTGGGGAAATTCCAAGCGTGGCTTACCATTGATTTAATTTCGCTCGAAACTTTAGATCTCGGAGACTTTGGCGTGCTAACAATTTTTATGATTGGGTCTTCCACTGCCAGTTCTGACTAGCAAGGCATCCCTCTCCCACTGGGAGCGGCAGATTGGGATTTCAGCTGCTGAAAAAGCCGAATATCAAGTCGGAATTGAATCCGTGATACCCCACAACACTAGACTCATCATCTAGATCTTCGGACCTATATAATACCCGGTCGCCCCCTATGTCTTCCGTGATCCCTGTCATCTGAAAACTTCAGACCGCCCTTTTACCCCTTCCAACCTCAATCCACTGTCAGGTACTCCAACATGGCTGACGCCGAGAGAGGCACCACGCCTATTGGTGACGAAAAGGTCATTTTAGACCATAAAGAGTATATGATGGGTGAAGTCACCCATGGTGCAGCAGAAAAGGGCCAACTCGCGACAGACGAACATGGCCAGCCCCTGCTAGAATTTGACAAGGCCGCCGAGTCACGATTGCGACTCAAGATTGATTTATATATTGTCCCAACTGTTGCAATCCTGTATCTCTTTTGTTTTATCGATCGAGCCAATGTTGGTATGTAACCAACCCCGGTTATTATATCCCGAGTTCTATGTCCAGTTCAAACACTAATCCGTTTCTTTTCTGGAATAGGCAACGCTAAATTGGCCGGTTTCGATAAGGACCTTGGACTCAAGGGCTATGATTACAATGCTGTGCTCTCGATATTCTTTATCTCATACATTATCTTTGAGATTCCCAGCAATCTTATGTGCAAATGGATCGGGCCGGGGTGGTGGCTACCAGGGATCACATTGGGGTTCGGTATCTGTTCGGTCGCCACGGCTTTTGTCACTGATATGCGTAGCGCATCTGGTGTCCGCTTCCTTTTGGGGTATGTGTCCTAGAGTTCGCAAAATCGACAATGCTAACAACCTCTCCCTTAGCATGTTCGAGGCAGGACTCATGCCTGGAATCGCATACTACCTTTCACGTTGGTATCGACGAAGTGAACTTGCCTTCCGGCTATCATTATACATCGTCATGGCTCCTCTCGCTGGAGCGTTCGGTGGTCTTTTAGCCTCGGGTATTCTCATGCTAGATCATTTCGGTTCCCTCCGCAGCTGGCGTATGATCTTTGCGATTGAGGGTATCGTCACCATTGGAATTGCTCTCATCTCATTCTTCACGTTGACCGACCGACCTGAGACAGCCAAATGGCTCTCCCAGGAAGAGAAGGACCTAGCCATTGCTCGTGTGAAATCAGAACGTGTTGGCGCGACCGAGGTCCTCGACAAATTCGATGTAGCCAAGACACTGCGTGGTATATTCAGCCCAGTAACAATTGTGATTGGGGTAATGTTTATGTTGGACAATATTACCGTTCAGGGGCTTGGGTTCTTTGCGCCTACTATTGTCAAAACCATTTACCCCGATGCCACTGTGGTGGCTCAACAGCTGCACACTGTGCCTCCTTATGTTGTCGGCGCGTTCTTCACTGTGCTGTTCCCCTACCTCAGCTGGCGATTTGATCATCGCCTAATCTTTTTCATTATCTGCCCGCCGCTAATGATGACCGGTAAGTCTCAGCTCCTTGAGCAACCTTGGTTGCAAAACCAAGGATTGCAGGGTATACCAGGTTCCAGGCTAACCATTACGGGAAATGTTATAGGCTATATCATGTTCCTGGCTAGCGAAGCCAGTATGGTCCGATATGGGGCCACCTTTATTATCGCGTGTGGAGCATTTTCCTTTGGGTCCCTATGTCCTGCAATCGCATCGGCAAATGTGATTTCGGACACTGCGAGATCTTCGGCTATTGGAACCACCGTGATGTTCGGCAATATCGGTGGGCTGATCAGCACTTGGTCATTCTTGCCTTTTGATGGGCCGAACTACCCTATTGGTAATGGTCTGAACTTCGCAACTTCAACCGTCATTCTCCTTCTTGGGGCCAGTCTATGGGCATATATCATATGGGAAAACCGGCGCCGTGCGCGTGTCGATGTCCACAGCGCCTTGGCGGGACTTTCCCCCCAACAGATTCAGGATCTGGACTGGCGCAATCCTGGTTTCCGCCTGCGACCATAGCCAGGTTCTATACCTCGGGTAATTGATTTTGCCCCGGTTCATGACCTTAGAACTCCTCACTAGCCTTCGTCTCGAACATACAATGAATTACTGGCAAAGACATAGTCTATCTGAGGACTCCATTGGCGTTATACGCGTAAAATTCTCTAGATCCAAAATTCTTCGTTTCATTTAAGCAGCCGAAGAGCTGTACGAGTCTTACTTCAAAGATCCGTGGTTGGCAGACTTGAATAACGAATCACAACAAACATATTTGGCCAGGAAATTGCACATGGCTCAAAGGATTGCCGATCATGTCGGTACGGTCTTGTTCATTACAAAACACGCGAAGAATAACTAGAGGCTTTGGTGATCGGCGTGTCCAAGCGCACCCCACGCCAAGGAATTCGTCTTTCTTGTTGTGGTGGTCTGTGAACCAATCAGTGGCTTCAAATCATTCATGGATGGGGTTTTCTCTAGTTTTCGCCCCGCGATAAATAAGCCACGTACGGCACAGACATCTTCATCCGGACGTTGTCCGAAACTCACTGTCAAGGTTCGATGGAGGAAAGAATAGACTTGGCAGATCATGTACTCCAGTACGTCCTGCGTCGGAGTAGAATGTCAAGAGCATCTGGGAATGAACATACAAGACAGGAAACAAGCGAGCCACCGTGACCCTACAGTGCTGGAGGGAAGCTGCACATTTTAATCCAAGGGAACATGTGGTGATTCAGGAACTCGGCCATGTTCCGTTGAGATATCCCTGGAACGAGAAAGACGGCAACTTCGGACTTGGGACTGAAGACGCAAGCTCTCTTGGCGCTGTTCCCCGGGTCTTGGCTTGTCCCGGTGTATCATGTGTATCATGTCTCACCAGTTTACGGCTCATTTGGACTACGGAGTACAGGGATCTTTCGGTCTTGACATATTTCTCGGGCTGGGATTTCCGGTCCCCAGATTTCCCCGCATGTCGTGGGACCAACATCTCATAGCTATAAAGACCCCTTGCTCTGGCTCACGTTTGCTTTTTTCCCTCTTCTCCTACTACCCCCGGATTATCCCCGCATTCAACTACATACTTGAGTGTTGCCCATCATGGCTGGCGGAGCAAAGAAACCAGTCAATATATTCCGCCTCAAAGACCTGGGTGAGCCCAAGGAGGTTTTCAACTGGCGATTATGGTTCTCGGTCATCTCATTTGGCCTGATGGGCGCTGCCCGAGGTGTCGATGAGGGGTTGATCTCAGGTGCCTTCAATTCTGAAGACTTCCAACGTTACATCAACTATGACTCGTACAGCCAAGTGGAACAGACCAACATCAAGGGAAATGTCACTGCAATGGTCCAGATTGGATCTGTTGGAGGCGCTCTTTTGTGGGTTCTTCCTTGATCTTTATTATATCGGATCTCGTGTCACTAACCCGGTCTATTTTTATACAGTGCATTCTTGGTCTGTGATCGCATCGGTCGTATCTGGGCAACCCGCCAACTTTGTGTTTTATGGATTGTGGGAATCGCGGTTTTCATGGGTAACGGTGGCAGCTTAGGTGCTGTCTATGCTGGTCGCTTTATTGCTGGACTCGGTGTGGGCCAGACAGTTGTCGTTGCTCCTGTATATCTTGCAGAAATTGTGAGTTGCTCATTACTCCAGTCATACATCCATATCAACTAACGAAGAAAGGCCCCCGCTTCTATCCGTGGTCTTTGTACCTGTGTCTTCACAGGCTTTGTCTATCTGGGTATTGTCCTTGCATATTTCGCCAACTATGGTTGCCAAATCAACCTCGGCGACAACACGCACAACCGATGGGTATGTGTGATCCACTCCGTACCATATATTATCAATACTGACTAGAATAGCTCGTTCCCACGAGTCTGCATATTATCTTTGCCGGCCTGATATTCCTTCTCTCCTTCCTCCAGCACGAATCACCCCGATATCTAGTCAAACGCGGCCAGCTCGAAAAGGCCATCTCCAATCTCTCGAAAATTCGTGGCCTACCATCCGACGATGAATACGTCGTACGCGAGATATCCAGTATTCAAACGACACATGCAGCTGAGATGGAGGCCACAATGGGGTCTGGCGCTATGGGCGTGATCAAGGAAACATTCCTTGTCCCATCGAACCTCTACCGAGTCTACCTCACATTCATGGCCCAACTTCTTTCGCAGTGGTCCGGAGCCGGCAGTATCACTGTCTACGCCCCTGATTTGTTCAAGTTGCTAGGAGTCACAGGCAATAACGAGTCTCTCCTGGTCACTGCTGTGTTCGGAATCATCAAACTGGTTGCCGCAATTCTCTGTGCTCTTTTCTTGGTTGATGTTATTGGACGCAAGCGAGCCCTCCTCCTTGGTATCACCCTGCAAGCGATTGCCATGATCTACATTGCCGGCTTCTTGACCTCCGTTCCCGAAATGGGAGTCGACGAGAGCTACAAGGTACCGGCTGACAAGAAGAGCGCTAGCGAGGGCGCCATTGCAATGATTTATCTCTCTGGCTTTGGATGGGCTCTCGGCTGGAATTCAATGCAGTATCTTCTGACTGCAGAGCTCTTCCCACTGCGCATCCGTGCTCTTTGCACTTCTATGGCCATGACTCTCCACTTTGCCAACCAATATGGTAATGCGCGCGCAGTTCCCAATATGCTTCTGCCCGTCGCAGAGGGTGGAATTGACCCCAAGGGTACGTTCTGGTGCTTTGCTGCCATTACCGTTATCGGTGGTGTCTGGGTCTGGTTTAGTATTCCGGAGACGGCAGGTCGCTCATTGGAGAGTATGGATCGTCTCTTTGCTTTGCCGTGGTACAAGATTGGCCGGTATGGTAATCGGGATGCCGATGAACGTGACCTGGTAGTGGATGAGAAGATGGAGATGGCGGTGCAGACGCACGGAACGGCTCAACATGTTGAGAGGCAGGACAGAGAGAACCGAGTCTGAATATCATCTAGATATCTCTAGTATTCATTTGCTGGTCATGATTAATGAAACTAACATCATGAATAAATCCCTTTTGAAATATAACAACCAACTCTTGCCCCATTAGCCCGCTGAAATACGTGAATAGTGCTTCTGTTCCCGCCTTATTTCGACCATTCCTTCAACCCCGATTGTCAGAATTCCCCGTTGACGTCGGCCCGTCTAGCGGAATGATCACAATTCTCGCCTTGAGCGCAGCCTTATCCCGAGACTTCCTGGTAGACCGTGCCGATCCCTCACTTGTGCGAATATCCATATATTCCATATCATTCAAATATTCATCCGGTAAATCGACCCGGATCAGAACACCCCTAGGTCCAAAGACCGTCTCGTTCCACTGCGAAATATGACGAGCAAGATGCTCACCACGAGCTCCAGCCATTGCCGAGATCAGATTCCGTTGTTCTCGTCGATTCCTGGTGAGGCGGGCAATGAATATCGCGGGGATAGCGCCCAGAATGCCGACCATCAGTCCGCCCACTGCCATTGTGCCCAGGCCTCTGCCAATCACAGTGGTCCACTGCCGACGTGAAAGCTTAGCTTCGTCGCAGACTACTTGTGTGAACTGCGTCCAATGGTCTTTGGAGATGCCGTAATGAGAGAGTTCGTCTGGATACTCGAATCCTGATGTGCAGGCAGCGGATCTGGATGGTATTTGCAGGCCTCGTCTCAGAGCAGATGCAACAGCAAACCCGGGCTCATTTTTCTCGGGCAGGAGGATCATGGGATTGTCGGTCTTTTCATCGAGGGTGGAATTGAATTCCTCAGATGGGGAATACATCGGTGGGGCATCGTAATGTCCAAACGTGTTCATGGTTGGTGAAGGACTGTATAGATACAGCTAGTATTTCTTTTAATGAAGTTTTCTTCTTCCACAGGGAAGGATTGATTTGATATTGAATGATTTTCCGATTTTGCACATTAAAAAAGGGTCACCATCGCAAATATTTATATTTCTGCTTAGCCAACATTCCCAAGCCTCATTTTTCTAAGCAAGCTTTTCCCCCTCAGGTATGAGTCCGTATGACTTGGCCAGACACCGCGGCGGTGTTGGGAGGCTTGTTTCGGCACTCGGAGCCATCAAAAATGGCTTTCAAATTGGTGATGCCTTGTATAGGCCGCAATATTTTGCGTTCGAGTCACTTTTGGGAGACCAATCGTGATTGCACGCGTTACGAGCAAGGGTCCAGATGCGGTCATTTAGTACGAAGATAAGGCCGAACTAGATTCTCAGTAATTAAGAGTGAGGCTAAATTGACCAATAGAGTAATGGTCAACCCCGAGATATCTCATTTCCCTCGTATGTCTATACTCCGAGCTCCGCGTGAGTCACAATTTCTCACAAAAGGGACGTGCACCGAAGCAAACAACCCCCTGAGCCATCAAGGCACCACCTTTCTCCCCAAAACTTCCTCAAATCACATCATGACAACGCGTTATAGGGTTGAGTGTACGTCATCGCGTCTTTTTTATCTCACTGCCCTCCACTAACGTCTCTTAGATGCCCTCAAGGTACGGCTATCTCCGCAAGAATATGTGTGCCCCTCACTGACCCATAGCCATGTAGACCCATCGCCGGGATCAACTAGTAAGTCGGTACTACATATCTAAAGATTAAAGAGTCTGCCTAACAATCTGCAGATCGAATGGATCAAAGTATGTCGCTCGGTCATGTCGTATTCGCCGATTCTAATCCCTCTAGGGTCTGCTGGCCGTCCCCTTTGTCCTGCATTCCCAGCCCACGGCAATCTACAAGGACAACGGTGAGGTGCTGAAGACAGTCGCCGCCGACACCCAAGTTCGCTATGCAGAGATTATGCGAGATGTAGAGAATTTGATGCTTGATCATAGTAAGTGGGGATTAGAAATCAAAGAACTCGGGGATGATCCCTAATCGGTACTTAAAGTCCAACACCATGAACGCAATGCCCCCGGAAAATCGAAATTGAACCTTCTGGTGCCGTCAGTGGGCACTTTTTTCACCAAGCTATATCTGGAAGATGCCTTCAAGTATCAAGATCAGCAGCGATTCATCAGCCGACGACGCTTCGTGGCCCCTTCATTCAACGATATCCGACTTATTTTGAACTCCGCCCAGGTGCTGGGTCTTGTTCGCTCCAGCGAGGTGCAACTAGTCACATTCGATGGAGATGTAACGCTCTACGATGACGGCGCCTGTCTCACATCCGACAACCCAGTCATCTCACGGATTTTGCGACTCCTTGAACAAGACCGCAAGGTCGGCATTGTGACCGCGGCCGGGTACACCGACGCACCAAAGTATTACGAGCGCCTTCAGGGTCTGCTTGATGCGATGCACGAATCAACTACTCTCACCGCAGATCAGAAACAAGGACTGATTGTCATGGGCGGCGAGAGCAATTTCTTATTCCGCTTCGACCCGACATCAAATGCCCGACTAACCTATGTGCCGCGGAATGAATGGTTGCTGGATGAAATGCAGTCCTGGAGTGGTGATGATATTACCGAGCTCCTTGATATTGCCGAGTCTGCTCTGCGAGCCTGTGCTGACAATCTCAATCTGCCGGCTGCTATTCTACGCAAGGATCGTGCGGTTGGTGTTTACCCTGTGAACGGTGTCCGAATCAGTCGCGAGCAGTTGGAGGAGACTGTATTGGTGGTGCAGAACACGATTCAACGTTCGGCTGTTGGGGCAAGATTGCCATTCTGTGCTTTCAACGGTGGCAACGATGTCTTCGTAGATATTGGCGACAAATCGTGGGGTGTGCGCGTATGTCAGCGCTATTTCGGTGGCATCGATCCAGCTAAAACACTGCATGTTGGTGATCAGTTCTTATCAGCTGGGGCTAATGATTTCAAGGTGGGAAGACTATAGAACTCTCCTTGGCTACTGGTCAGACTAACATTTCTTCTGATTAGGCCCGTCTTGCATCTACAACTGCCTGGATTGCAAGCCCCGCCGAAACAGTGGAGCTACTCGATGAGTTGGAGAAGACAGTGTACTCGTAGTCATTGAACTCCACGTTGAACGGTGGAATAATGCATCTTTCTGGAGTTCATTATGTGCAAGTTCAGTGTCAAGTGTTAAGATTGATACACCGGACTATCTTTGGACTACCTCTTTTATCCTCACGATAGCAGTCGCCCATAGCGTTTTTAATTCATTTGAGGTAATTTCAAGATTCAGATTGATGGTTCTATCTACAACGCACTTTATGTCGCAGATCAACAGTCTTCAAGGGGGGTAGAAAACCATCAAACAAAAAGGCACGATCATCCGAACTCCCAGGCATAAATGTCACTCACGTAAACCAACCTTGGGTCTCGAGGACTTATTGCATAGCACCATACAACGCGTAACGGACGTTCAGTGCGATCGCCCTCCACATCACAAGTTAGTGGATGGCTCGCCGGCCAGTACTTGGGGGAACATTCAAGCATATCCCGGGTGTATCATTGGCGTGGATTCCATTGTTGGTTGGAAATAAGTGGTCCTGTGGGTGGAAATCCTTTCAGGGGGAGCTGGGAACCGAGGGGACAGATCGGACTGTCGAAGGATCTGAAGAGTAGGAAACACGACAATCGTTAACATTCGTATGAGGGGGACACCAGAAATGATCATTGTACGGGGGAGCAAAGCGAGCAGCGACGAAACGATTTGAACAGGGATGAAAAAGCAAATAAGCAGGGTCGCAGTCGGTTTACGTACTCTCGTAGCAGGACCAGGTCTCGTTTTTGGTAGCATGGGTGCGTCCAGACAGAACATTGACAACGTCCTGTAGTTCAAGCCAGAACTCGGACTTAGGGCGACGGCGGACCCAATCAGTCTCGGTAGCCTCCAGTCCAGATTCACCACCCATGGGGGAGAATAGCACCTGTGAACCTTTGACACCAATGACAGCACTAGAGAGAGGGTCTGCGGCAATTTCATCACCGCTCTTATTGGCATATCCTTCGATGTGCTGCATGCACCTGATGGCCATACGCAAAGCACGGGCACGATCCATTGGCGAAGGCATACCACCTTGTTGGAAGTGACCGGGAACAGCGGCACGAGACTCGAATCGGCCCCTTGCCTCTTCCTTGATAATGTCGGCGATCACCTGCGTAGTGTATGTGCTGGATGCACATTCGTTACGCAGAATAATCTTGCCTGCACGGTTAGCGCCTTTGTCGCGGATGAAGTTTTCACGCAGGAAGTCTATGTCACGCGAGAGCATCTTGATATCAACACCCTCCTCAGGAATGTAAACTGCCACGGCACCAACAGCGAGGCCAGCTGTGGTTGCAATATATCCAGATTTGCCACCTTGGGTCTCAATCACAAACACTCGGCGGCGAGAAGAGGAGGCGGATTGACGAATCGCATCACAGAAGACGGTCAGGGTATTCAGACAGGTATCACTGCCCAATGAGTATTCAGTCCCGGGGACGTTGTTAGAAATTGTAGCTGGGAGCACGATGAGCGGAATCTTAAACGCATCATACTTTGCACGAGCCTGGCGCAGTTCGCTGACGGCAGTGAAAGCCTCGAAACCACCAACAACAAACAAGGCATCAAACTTGTACAGCTCAAAGCACTGGGCAGTGCCCTCCATGTCAACAGATGGCAGGGTACGGTTAGTTCCAATGTCCGAACCACCCTCGTTAACCCAGCTATCAGCTTCCAGCCAAGTGACCTCGCGGACTGAGCTGACTGGCTTATCGTCGTGGTGACGGCATAATCCGGGGAAACCGTTATGAATGGCCAGTGGGGTGTGGCCATGAGTCAGGCAGTATGCAACGGCGGCACGGGTTGCTTGGTTCATACCACCAGCCGGGGCACCAACGTGAATGATAGCGATTCGCATTCTCTGTGATATAGTAAGTATCTAGAAAGCCTGAGGAGCCCGGATGCGCTGTGGAATTAGGTGTATACCTTGCCTTCCGGAAGAATCATCTTCTGGTCCTGGCCTGCGGTGTCCAAATAGGCGTTGTAGTACTCCTTGAATTCCGGATCACGCAGCTTCATGGCCTCATCGAATTCTTTCTTGTCAATCAAGGCCGTCACATCTTTCGTTGCTTGAACTGCTTCCATCAGAGGAGTCCGCATGATCTTGTTCTCGCGGATGGTGATGACTGGTGAAGGGGAATCAGGTGACATTTCAAGCACGGCACGAACGGCCTCCACACCCTGTAGAGTTGACAGCCAGCGGTCATAAGCGCACGCTGCACCACCTCGCTGGGTGTGGCCTAGAATGGTTACTCGGGTATCCAATCCCAGCCGATCTGTGAGAATATCCTTGATTTTCGAGCTCGAGACCTTGTTCAATTGCCGATCCTGTGCTCCTTCGGCGACGATAACGATTGTACGGCGCTTGCCGCGTTCACTTCGGTTCTGTCAAGCCCCTTGAATCAGCAAAAATAAAACATTGAACAACACTGAAGTAATTCCAACCTTGGTGATTACGGCACACATGTCATCCTCCCAGCCCTCCTTTGGAGGCATCTCAGGGAGGAACATCCAGTCTGCACCGGTACTGATAGCGGACATCAAGGCAAGCCATCCACAGTGTCGGCCCATCACCTCGATGACGAAACCACGCTGGTGGGAAAAGGCAGTATCGAAGACATCGTCGACGGCATCACAGATACGGGTCAAGGACGAATAGCAACCGATAGTGGCATCTGTCCCAGACATGTCATTGTCGATCGAACCTACCAGGCCCACAATGTTCAAGACCTTGTAGGGTGCCACCTGCTCAGCTGACAACTCCCCCGAGCTAACGAGGTCTGCCAACAAGCTGGGCCACTCGGCACGGAAAACATCGGCACCAGTCAAACTGCCGTCACCACCGCAGACGACCAGTGCATCGATACCTTTCAGGACCATGTTCTTTGCTGCCTTCATCCGACCAGCACGCTCACGGAATGCCATGCTGCGAGCAGAGCCGATCAGGGTGCCACCACGGGACAACCAACCGCGGACATCCTCCCAGTGCAGCTGGCGGATCATATTCCCGCCATTAACCAGTCCTTCGTATCCTTCGAAAATGGCGTAGGCTTCGCAGTCGCTGTGAATTGCCATGCGGACAACGGCCCGCACGGCACCGTTCATACCGGGAGCATCTCCACCAGAGGTGAGAACACCGATGCGGCGTCTCTTAGCCGGATGAGTGGCAATCTTGATTGGCTCCATATTGAATTGAAGGCTTCGACCTATACCTCAGGTCGATAGACAAAAGAATGAGACAAAAAGTGATTAGGAAGAAGAAAACAAGTCGAAAAAAAAGAAGCCGATAAGGGTTTCAAAGCTCCAAGTTATGAATGGGTGGGGTGTGGAGGGGTCAAACCCAATCCGGTGAGAGAAATTGGGCGGTAGGTGGATGCTTTGCGTCACAGAAACAACTTGAAGCTAAAAGTTATCAAGTTGGATTTCAAGAAACATAAGGAACTGTTGAGGAAAATGAGAAAATGCTGAACCGGACTGGACTGTATTTATTCTTGACTACCTGTATATGCCTCCCCCTGAGATTACAGTGGTCTGACCCTTCATGACCCTTCATGGTACCTGCGTTCCCTTACATTTTGGCTGCAAACACATGTCACCGGTCGATTTAGGTTTAGTACGGGCGGTGAGATGTCAAGTTGACGTCACTGATATTATTTGATTTGTTTGATTTGTTTGTTCTGTTTGTTCTGGCCCCTTTCCAATGTTGCTATTTATTGTCTTTCTCACGAGTATGTTGTACTCCCCATAGTCGTCAACCTCGTATTCATTATTATGGGTTCAACAATTATTGCACAACTAGTCACCCGTGTACCCTTGGCAAACATGGTCTGACCGGTTCATTCACACAACCTCGGTCCATATGACTCGCACTAAAGGAGCGATGCCACGCATATTGTCACATGGTTTTCCCTACTAATATCGCTCCTATACCTAGAACGTGATTGCTCCTGTGAAACTCGATTCGCTCACTCGGAAGCCCCTGGTCCTGTATAGAGTGTTCCACCAGTTGTAAGTTTTTTGCAGTGACACGTTGTCCCTGCAACTCCTTGTCTAATCCTTGTTCGAAATGCTCCTCATACCCCTGAGATCCCACATAAGAGGTATTTACAAAATAGCTTTGGCGAAATCTCCAGGCACCATAGTTATGGTACAACAAATGATCTTACTATCGTCGGACACATGCATGGGCCCTCGGGTAACAGCGGAACTAAAGGCGAAGAGAAAACAAAAGTTATCCTTGGATTCAACTTGGCATGATTAAAATATCAGTGTGATGCCGTCTTGGCGGGCTAGGCTGACACCTATACGAATATGGTGTCTCCCTGAAAGAAGATGGAATACCGTGCCATTTATTGATTCGTATATCTTATCGTGTTCATGAACCTTCAATTGCGACTATAGAACTATGGAAAAGCAAGCTAATAATAATATCAAATTCCCTGAGAATAAAAACAAAACAACGCCCCCAACATTCATTAAAACAACGCACTTTCACGTACTTGGTCCATCCTCATTATCAGAAAAGCTCCCCGACATTTGTCTTACGTCCTCGGTTCTCAATTTCGGCAGTGAATTGCCCAGGCATTGCGCTCGTAGTCAGAACACGGCTAACCTCAAGGTACCGCTTGCGAATCTCAGACCAAAGCTTTTTATCCTTAGCAGTGGTCAACTCGGGTGATGGGTAGTAGGGGTCATTCCAGATAAAACCGTCCACGAGTAGTTTCAGACCTGCAGGGCTCTTCTCGAACTTTGCGCACCTATCCACATGTTAGCAGTATCCAGCAATATTCGGGAATAGCACCCACATATTAAAATCGATAAGCCACAGGCTGATTGACTGACGAGAAAGGTCAAATCGATGTCCTAGCGAGCACTCATCCTCTCCCGTAATCTCATCTGACCGCGGTATTAGAGACAACAAGGGGGAGCTACCAAGAATGAACTCTACGTCATTGCCATCAACGCCGGCTTTCCAGTGTAGAATGGCCAGGGTTTGAGCCATGACCTGGGCAAACGCAGAGGTGTCCAGCTGCAAATCCTCCATTTCGTTGACATGTAGCGGGAAATTGCGTAATTTGAAATCCTTCACATTCGGGTCGGTCCTGTTCCTCATTCGGCGTCCGAGATAGACTCGAATCAAGCAGTGCTTGTTCTCTGGCTTGGCAGGGAACTCCGACTTGTACTCCTGAAGGGTTGGAGGGCAAAGAACATCGACTATAGCTTCCCTGACTGGGAGAGGGACGGGAAAGACACGGCTTGAGATCAGAGCGAAACTCTGCACATCCATTTCCCAGCTGTACAACTTGGGAATGTGGATGTCCAGTTTCATCAGATTTTCAACATCGTTCATTGCTTCCTTGACAGAGGCGTGCATCTTGAAGTCAGTAAGCAGTTGGGGGACCTTGGCTGCGGAGTTGGGAAGTTTCGCGACGGTATCTGTTCCAACAATGGCGTAGACAGTACCGCACTGTCCTTGTCCGATCTCCAGGAAGCGTTGTTGCGACGGGTTATCTCAGACTGCATTGTTCAGTTCTTCGAGGCTAGAGGTAGTTGATATGTAGGATTTAGTCGATAGCATGCGTGTCAGGATATCTTCTGGCTTTGCGGCAGCGATGTGCTCCGGGAAAAAGAGGGTATCTTTTGCCAACTGGAAACCAGTGGGAGCAAGATCCTTGATCGATTCAGTGATAGAATATTCCGAATCGTCGGTACTGGCCTGCTGGCGATCCATAGTATGAGGACGTCTTGCTGGTCAAAGTGTCAAGAAATGCATGTAAAGTCGTCGTAAAAAGTAAGAGAAAAGTAAAGGTTCAGGGAAACCACGAGGTGCGGACAAATCGGTGGGCGCAGAGAAAAGTAGAGGTGAAGAGAAGAGCAGAAGTAGAAAACTGCCTATCTAGGTAATATAAGAAGACACCAACTTTGGAAATGTACCGCCCACCTTTACAGGTTGCAGGTTTCCATGGATTGCTCTGCACAGAAACCCAAATAGTGTGTGTGTACTTCGGTTTATCCCAGTCTGCAGTAGTTCATGGCTGCAACTAATATCCTCTCTGCCAGTTTACCTTAGCTATATTGTAAGCAAATTAACCGCATGGTTGAGGGAATCTTCGAGTCCGGCAGATTTTGGTTTCGTGCGTTGAGCTTACAGGGTTGAAGTCAACCCTGGCACTTTTTTTCCTCACACGAGCGGTACAAACAATGATAATGAGTTTGGACCAGGCTTCTATACCACCGAAAGTCTAACCCACAGTATAATTTACCTACGAGGGGGGATTGGCGCCATCAAAGCTTTTGAAGCCCCAGCTCTTGTGCGCGCTGCTATCTGGCAGCCTAGTTTAGAAGACTGGCAGGCTTGGGTGACGAGGTAGCTATCGCGTCCGCCGGCCATTGCCCATTGCTAGCTGTCCAGCACCACCGCAGTATGATACTGCGGACTTCATCCCTGGGGCCACTAGGGTTACGCAAACCGATCCCAGAAACGCTCGCCTACAAATGCCCACTCAGTCAAATGAGAACAAATTAGTGGCTGTTAGCTATCAAGGCTGTCAAATTCTCGCTGACTCGCTGTACATGATTATTTTTGTTGACGCAGCATGATCACCCTCTCGAGTCAAGTCTAGAGGCACGGTAGAACAGGTCATATTTGCATTCTCTGGTTTCCTTTTTCAAAAAAATGAGACAATCGAAGAGAATAACAACAGTTAGGAAACTCTTTTTAGAATGTAAACACTGGACCTGTGAACAACTGTATCCATCACATATCCAAGATGGCTGTGAATATACTACCATCACTCCTTAATGCTGGACACCACGGGATCGCTTATATTAAGCACCACGCTGGCGAAGTTCTCGTGAAAGAGCTGCTGCACTCTGGGTAGGAAATACTCCGTAATCGAGTTTTCAACAGTGGGCGGAAGCAGATCCTTGTAAATCCAATAGTGCCGAACAAAATCCCCAGTGCAGTTTATATTAGCCATCTCAGGGTATCCATTCGCCTCGGCGCATGAAAGAGTCTTTATTTCTCCCTCTAGTGCAGTGTCATATCGAAGATAATTCCCGAAGGCAGCTTGCTCATGCGACCATTGCTGGCTCCATTTAGAGCAGTCGGGGTATCGAACGTCGGTAGGGCATGATTCCCACGCTTCAAAAAGCGCCTGGGTCCTGGGGTCTTTCTGTCCAATAATAAATCCCGTGTTCAAGAGCGTTTTTCCTTTCGCATCCCGATTTTGTGGTTCATCTGGGTCGAGTGCCATGGCGACGAGTGTATCGGGCGTTATGTCCCAGTAGTTGAAAAGCCATTCCATAGGAAGGTGCGGATGGCGAATCATAGCATCCCCATCGAGGAATATAACAAATTCGTAAGATTTCAGGGCTTCCTTCATCGCCGTCACTTTACTCCATGTGCCATGAAGACCCGTAGGGCAAGAAGCCTGGATGAGCTTGTAATCATAGCCATGTATTGTAGCTACAATGGTCAGTGTTGGGTGGTAAGGAACATACATAGCAGAGACGTACCGTATATGTAGTGGCTTAGTCTACCAATTGTGCTATGATGAGCGCTTGTCATGTTCAGCCGGCTCCCATTCAAAAGTTCACCTGGTCCATCAAGTGGCCGGGTGTCGACGTCCAAAATAAGGAGTTTATCTCTCAGGGGCTTCGTAAATCTCGGCATTTGTGGTAGTGAATAAGTTTTTCCATTCAGATCATCGAAATCTAGGGCGTCTATTGGGTGTATGTAGGGCCTGTAAAGATTTTGGATAAAGGAGAACCCGTTGTTCATCTGCAGCGCCGAGTATTCCCTACAAATGGTTAGATTGCCGAATGAAGTTTCCGCGGAATAACGAAAATACAACGTACCTCGAGATGTTTCGGACAGAGAAATTGTGCGAGGCCACGAAAAAGTAAAACAGACCGCATAGTAACGCCGTGAGTGTTAACACGGAAACAATTGGCTGTGGCATCATGGTCAGTGCTGAAGAAAGGTAATGGATTGTTTATAACGGTGATGACCCGCAGACACTGCGCGCCCATGAGTGTGAAAAACGGAACACCAGGCCATTCCTCTCGGCTCGTCTTAAATAGATAGGAGAATTGTCACGTTCTCGTGGTATTTACGCAAGCGGGTGGAGGTATACGAGGTATGTGAACTGTTTTGAATTGGGGATAAACTATGATTCCTTCCGGATGCGGAAAGATCATTACCTACACAACTTACCAAACGAGAAAATGGCAAGTGAACTGTTGATTTTGCTCTTAATTTAAGGGGCTCTATAGTTTTTCCGACTTAGATTTCAATTATGTTGTACACAAAAATGGAGTGCTAAGAAAGACCTGGCCTAATCAGGTTAGAGGGGTGTGCCAGCAGTATCTTACTTCTAATATCATGTTGGTGTAGTATGGATGATGTTCGAGATATAATCAAATTAGTATTATGTCTTTTGCATTTGTCTTTCAAGGGGTCTTAGAGGTGCCCATAGATGTCTATTGAGAATAATCAGCCGCAAACTGTAGGGTAGTGTAAAAAAGGATGGTACCTACGGGGTATATATAAAACAAACTGAGCGCTATAAAACACTTAGGTAGCCGGTTTTTAGCTGCCAACAGTCACTATCCACTACGGTACTCCACCTTTTTCATCAGCGTCTCCCCTTCTCTTGTCTACTTCTTTCATTCTCTTCTCCCCTCTCCCTCCTATCTTATCTTCAGTGTTCGGCGTTCGGCGTTCGATCTCGACTCAGGGGATAGGATCAAATCGCCCAAGGTTGACTGCTAAATGTTTAAATGCTTAGCCTATCCAGAAAAGCCAAATTTAGACACTCGATACCCCGGTCCTTGATACCCCTCGGCTCCTAGCCCTTATCTCCCTTCCCGAGGTCTCACCTAAAGCTTGGTCGTTACTATGAATAAACAGACACTGCTATGGTTATTTACCTGATTAGAAGTTTAATCGGCTTTGGACCAAGCAATTCATGTAAATAAATAACATACTCTATCATTCCGATATCGGGATACCACACAGAATTCACTCTATTCCCACTTGGGCAGTTCGATCCTTTGAGATAAGATCAACCCCGCATGTTAGCTGCATCCATATATTTACTCGATAACAGCTCTTTTTTTCTCCAAAGAACTTGCTTACTCTCGAGGAAAGCATCAATCGCACATTTCGATTTGTTTTACCGAATTCTGGGCCTTCTACATCATTTGCCATGGCGCCGAATGATACAGGTCAGCTTGACTCTGCCGCAGTATAAATGAAAAGGTTAACACTGTCTAGTTTTCAGCCTCGTTACGGCTGATCCAGGCCTACCGCGACCCAATCCCACCGAATCCTATTGGCAACATATTCCACATGCTCTCGCCGACGTCCAATCCTCAAAATTGCCAACTGACCGAGATTTTGCAATCATTGGGTCCGGTATCACGGGTCTATCGGTAGCTAGATCCCTCTTGGAACGCCACCCTACTGCCACAGTAACTGTTCTCGAAGCCCGTACGCTCTGTTCGGGTGCGACTGGGCGCAATGGTGGACAGATGGCTGCGAATGCTGGAGAGCAGTATATGAATCTTGCAGAAGCTCACGGGGTCGAGACGGCGGGCAAGATTGTGGACTTTACATTCCGCAATTTGGAGAAGATGCAGGAATTGATTGAAGAATATGATGCCGTGGAGTTGAGCGAGATGCAACGTCTGCGGAAGCTACGAGTCTTTTTGACCCAGGGGAAGTTTGACGACTTCAAGAAAAGTATCGCCCGGCTGGAAATCGATCATCCTTCTAAGAAGGGGCTATATACAATTTTAGATGCGGATGCTGTGCTCAAGGTGAGTCTTTTCGCCGGTGTGATCTATGGTGTCATTCTGATCTTTTTTTCTCTAGGAATACGGAATTCATGGAGCATCTGGAGGAACACTGCTTCCTGCTGGGACAGTCTGGCCATATCGTCTTGTCACCAAAGTTTTCGCGGCACTCTTGGAAAAATACCCAGGTCGCCTGACAATTGAGACACATACACCGGTTGAGTCTGTTGAGCACATTTCAACACTTGCCTATCCGTATACACTGCACACTTCTCGCGGTCCACTACGAGCACGGACTGTAGTTCATTGCACCAATGGCTACAGCGGACATCTCCTTCCTCACCTAAGAGGGCTTGTCTATCCTTTCAAAGGGACAATGACAGTTCAAGATCCGCAGAATGCTGTGCCAAATCAAGGCACAGCTGTGTCATGGGGCTTCCACTACCCTCCAACCTATGATCCTGCAACCCAACGTCTTGGATTTGGACTGTACTACCTAGGACAGAGTGCAAAGACCGGCTATTTCTACTTCGGCGGCGAGCATGCGCGTTTTGATGAATCATTATCCGCAGATGACAGCTTTGTGACCGACGACTCCGTGAAGCACTTGGAAGACGTCCTCCCACGATTCTTTGGCAAAAACGACAAATCCGATTGGCGTCTGGTCAGTTCCTGGAGTGGAGTTATGGGTTATTCCCCTGATGGTCTGCCAATTGTTGGGCGATTGTCACCGGAGATGACGGGGAGGGGAGGGGACGGCGAATGGATTGCTGCTGCATTCAATGGATACGGTATGGCAAACAGCCTGCTGAGTGGCGAGGCGTTGGCTTTGATGATTCTGGGTGAGGATGTCAGTGATTGGCTCCCAGTTTCATATGGACTGGGCGAAAAGAGACTCCGAGAGACGCTCACAGTCTCAAGGGCCGTCAATGGACTAAGGTCGAAGCTATGAGTTGGGCACGCCGGTCCTCGCTCGGTATGTTCGTGACTCAAATGGAAGTGCATTTCAATTCATCCTTTTGTAGCCATGATTTGTACAGGGTATTCAACTCTTGTCTCTATTATGTATTGATTTTTGCGAAAATAGATGGGGAAGAAAATTTTTGCGGTAGACCCACTACTTCACTTCGCGAGCGAGCCATCACGACTTCTTGCTTTACGCAAAAAATAGTCAGAAACAAAAAGACATGGACTCGCGGGGAATCGAACCCCGGACCACTCCCATGCTAAGGGAGTATTATACCACTAAACCACAAGCCCAGTTGATTTAAGATCGGGGAGCGAGTATCGGCTCAAGGCGGCATAGAGTGGAGTGGCAATGTGTGCTCTCTGTGGGTCACTACCGTGACACAGCGGCGGACACAAAATCCATTAAAGAGGGTTGGTTGGGTGAGCCAGCAATAGGAGATGGTTTCCAAATATGTGGCATTGAGTGGGAAGAGGGTTTTTCCCAATTCCCACGACCGGTCCCGTCGATACAGCGCACGGAGTAGATCTCGACAGACAGTTCATGACGGGACAAAGCAATCTTCATCTTTTTTCGGCTTTCTGATTTGGAGCTAGGGATCAGAAGTTCACCATGTTGAGGGTAAATCGCTTCCCAGCTGCCTTTCGCTTGGTCCTTGTCACTTTCAGACTTTAATGAACCACTATTGGATGAGATAGTAAAAACAACATCCAGCAACAAGAGGTGGTTGATGGCGGCTTCCACTTCTTCCCTCTGAGAAAGTTTACCAGGAGACTCAAGGTCCGGGTACTTGGGCATATTGAATGACACATCAAAGGTGGTGCCGAAGGGGGTTGAGGAAAGGTTGGTGTGAATTGCGATTGAGAAAGAACCCCGAGGGGTCAAAAGCTTCCCATGGAAGGTAGACAGCAAGGGAGTAAGGAACTGTCCAATGAGGGTCTCCACTACTGGAGCACTAGAGGTTTGTTTCTGCCTCTTTGTTGAAAAGACTCTTGCGGTATATGCTGGAGGTTTCAACCCTGCTGATTGCAAAACACCGAAGAGATCCTTGAGTAATGACTGGAGCCAGCGTACATCAGACATATGCTTGATGTAAGCTAGAGCCGGGCGAATAAGTTGATGTTCAGGAACAGGTCGCGTTTTCGGGGTTAGGGGAAGCGGAAGCATAGTCCGACGACGCAAGTTTTGACGGTGGGCATATGCCAATAATATCCGAATGGTATGTGCCAAACCATCTGCAAGCGAAGTTCCTTGCTGTGAGATATCATGTTCGGGTTGCGAGGTATCTTCATCAGTATCAACCAAGTCCAGTAAAATTTCGAGGTTATCGGAAGCAGGAATTTGAATGAGATTCTGGCGTGTCGTCACGCCAAAGCTAGCGATCGCTCGAGCCTCTCGGACTAGCTCATGAAACAGCTCCTCTTCGTAAACAGTATCACGCGCTTGCAGAATGCGATCCTCAATCGTTGCGTTGCCGTTGAAGGTAGAACGCGTCGGTCTAGATCTTCCCGAAAGCTTGCCATCCTGTATCACCCGCACCCGGACAAAACGGGCTTTGGATGGGATCAGTCCTTCATCTAATAACAAAGCCCCATCCTCGGCTCGACGTAAGGAAGCAAGGCCGCGGTCGCGGAACACCGGTGTGGCTATATTTAGTCGTGGTCAGTAGATGCTTCCTGCAGTATCCGTCACATCGGTATGCGCTCACCTTCGAGGAACCCATATTGCACGCCTAGCGATTGCCTTTCACGCGGGAGACGAGAAATTTTCCACCCCTTGTCCTTGACAGCCAGCACCTCATTCCAATATCGAGTCTCCGACGCGACTTCAGTTTCAAGTCTAGAGGCGGCCTGCAGAAGCTTGTTTGCCGCCGCGTTGAAATTTTGGATCCGCCATCCCCTTGATACCGCTGATATATCTTTGATTGTAGATTCCGGCTTCGGGGGAGGGTTCACGACCTCGGCATTGAGGGAACCAAGAGGTGCGACTTGCTTGAGGAAGGCCGACATGGAGGTTTCGGCCTGACGCGGGGCCTGCTTGGATAGCAAAAGGGAGACGAAGTCGAGGGCGAACATGGTTTCCATGTGAGCTTGCCTGGAAATTTATCAGTTCTTGCGCACCGAGTATGACTTTAAAACCATTAGACAGACTCACATGGCGAACTGAGTGATCTCGGCACGCCGCTTGTACAGTTGCTCCAAGCGCTCTGTAGAGTCAAGATCGGTCGCATCTTGGTCACTCTCGTCTACCCCGTCCAAGCCATCTTTTTCTTCCTCCTCGGCAATCCTGTTTCGGAGAACATCTTCATTCACCTCGCGAAAGGAGCCCCACTGATTGTTGATTTGCGCGATCTCCACAGGCAAGGTATCTGGACGCTCACGCTTCTCGGGGATAGGGCGCAAAGGCAGAGTGAAGGAGTCGGCCATGGTGTCAATGCACCTTAATAACCTCCCTCTGTGAAACTTGGAAAAACCAATGGCTCGAGAGGAAAAATAAGGAAGGACAAGTGGACGACCTAATCGGGAGCTCAATTCGGTGACGTAAGTTGCACGTGATCTTGCCTAACGCTGGGATAGATGCTCACAGACTCACAGTTGACTAGGTGGTTTCCCCGGTTGGTAAAGTTGTTTTCTTTTCATATCTTGGCAATATCAGTGATACCAGTAACTTTCAATCTGTCAGCTTGATGGGACTTAAAAGTAGCCGTTGTTCAAAATCACGCTGTCACAGAGTACAATATATATCTACAGCCTTTGATAACCTCAACACGTATCTTAAACACGGATACTATAAACATTCAATTTTCTCGATTATTTTCTAAATGTTCTTAGTTAGAAGTATGAAGGAACCTGCAACCTAATATGTCTACATTATACTGTATGTCTAACCTGGAGGCAAGTCCCACAAGGTTCTGTTTATGTACGAGTCACGACTATCCATTCCCGGGACATCCCCATCATATTTTCTACGCAATCACCACACTTCAAGCCTCCCATCCTATCTTTCCAATTAAGATACTGCCCGCTAGCTTTTTCTGAACATTACCCCCATAAATAAACTATGGCGTCGTATCTAGTGACCGGCTCTTCTCGAGGGCTCGGATTGGCGCTGATCACCCGTCTAGCAACATTGCCTAAAACCGAGGTGGGGACAATCATCGCCACCGCGCGCCAGGACAATTCTGCTCGACTGAAGGAAATTTCAAGTGCATCAGCAGGACGAGTGCAGATAGTTAAGTTAGATGTCACCAATGAATCCAGCATGAAAGAGGCTGTGGCGGCAGTGGAGCGCCAGTTGCAAGGGAAAGGGCTTGACTATTTGGTCAACAACGCGGGAGTGAGTGACTGGTCCCCAACCGGACTGGAAGGAATGTACGTTGAATATCTTATCAGAAGACTCGCTTGGTACTGATTTGACAGGGACAATCTGAATGAGACGTTCAATGTCAATGTTACTGGGCCGCATCTTGCATCGCGCGCTTTCCTACCACTTCTGCGCAAAGGCGAGAAGAAAACAGTGATCAACATGTGAGTATAGTGGGAAAGACCACACAGAGGTTTTTATACGACGCTAAGAAGCTGACCGAAATATAAGATCAACTACTTTAGGCTCCATGGCTATGGCTGATGCGTTTCGACCTCTGCCGTCACCGGCATATAAGATCTCAAAGGCCGCCTTGAACATGCTCACTGTACAATATGCACAGCAATATGCAGCTGATGGCTTCACCTTTCTTGCGATCAGTCCTGGTGTAGGTGAAGCCTTTCCACTCATTTGTTGATCTACTAACATCGAAAGTGGCTTCGCACCGACCTTGGTAGCAAGCGAGCAGATCTTCCGGTTGAAGTCGGTGCCGAGAAGGTCCTGGATATCATACAAAAGGCAACGCCGGAGCAGAATGGAAAATTTGTGAACATACATGTCCCTGGATGGGAGAAGCGAGAGGGCTCAAATCAGTATGATGGCAAGGAGATCCCTTGGTGATCCGGCAGGGAATCTTTTGCCACATTGCTTGATGGCTACACCGACTAATCAAAGGGAAAAGATGAATTACCTCATAGGAAGTCCTCCGCCACGAGATCCTATATGCCAATTTCCTTTCTTATTACTACTTATGGTCTGTAAGAAAGGTGATTCAATCTGCTAGTTCATCAAGTGTACCCTAGGTTTGTCACTCTAGCTACCTGATATTAGCTCTAGGCCACATTAGTCTTTGTTCGGCTGTCGAGTTTTCACAAAATCAACCAGGTCAAAGAAGCTCTTTTTGTAGTGCCGCTGCTGGGTGGTGCGATTGACACTTTGAATGCCAAATTGTTGCGTGTAGTCCCCAAATTCCCAATTGTCGACGAAGCTCCAAGCAAGGGCTCCCATGACATGCACACCGTCTTCATATATTGACTTGAGAATTTCAGACATGTAGGAAAGATAGTACACGCTCCTAGGAGAGTCAAATAGCTGGTCAGAGAGCTCCAGTTCTGCTTCTGCATGTACCGGAAACCCAAACTCTGATACCAGAATTGGGTGTCGGAAAGTATTCCACAGGTAATAGAGATACTCTCGGAGATACGTCGGTGTGATATACACGTAGGACTCGGAGCGATACCCAATGTTCCATCCGTAAACATTCTTTGTTTCTTGCTTGACGCAATATGGGAAAAGATCATTCGAGATTGACGGGTTGGCAGCGCAAGCCTTGATGCCTTCCTCGGCCGGAGATACTACCGTAGCGGTATACGGATCAATACCAAAAAAGTCGGATGTGTGGCCGATGTATTTCAGTTCGGATTTGCTCAAGGGTTTGGCTCCGGGGAGTGTTTCTAATACAGACTTTGGGTACTGCTTACCCAAGAATATTGGATTTGCGAAGATACCCAGTTGCATTTCTTGGAAGCGGTCAGCCGCGAGGACATGGCTAGAGTTTTTCGGATCCTTAGGCACTCCAAAGTTGTCGTTGAACTTTATGCCAATCTTCCCCGTGGCCTTCAAGGTATCATGATAGAAGTGGTAGATCTGGGAATGTGCCTTGACAACGTGGTCTGCTCCTTTGAAATTGAATGCGTAGAGCAGGGGCTCATTGAAGGTCACCCAGATTGGGACTCGGTCTGCATAATGAGAAAGCAGAACCTAGGGAGTGATCCACGTCAGACTTGGATGGGAATTGATGACTTGTGGAATAGAATCCGTACCTTTCCATAGTTGACAAATGCGTCGACAAAAGTTTCGTTTTGGTAGCCGGCATTGTTGTAGCCAATATCTGGGTGTCGCGTGATATTGTCGCTGGCGACAAACATTAATGGGCTGTCGAAATGAAGCATTGTGACAGCTGGCTGCAAATTTATTAGAATACTGGCATTTAACAGGTATGAATTGAGATATTTGGGATATTTACCGTCATTCCTGCATCGAGAACTGTGTCGATCAAGTCATTATAATGATCAATGGCTTGTTGATTGACAGGTGTTCCTGGAAGAGCAAAAGGCAAAACCCGCGTCCAGGGGATTGTAAAGCTATAATACTCGACACCCATTGCAGCTAGTCGCTGTATGTCTTGCTTATACAAGAAATAATTTTCGTTGGTGACATAGTCCTTTGGCTTGCTGTCGGGTACCAATTTCTCCAACAACGAAGGTGATCGACCATCCAACCCAATTGCACCTTCAATCTGCGCCGCACTCCCTGCAACCCCAAACACAAAGTCCTTGGGGAAATTATAGCAGTCGGTAGGACCAAAATAGTCGCGCGGTGGCAAGACCAGCTCACTGCTGGGCACGGGTGTGGGACTGACAGTTGTCGAGAATAACCCAGTGGTGGTCTACTCAAGTAAGCTACAACTGCAATTTGCGAGGAATCACAGAGCACACGACATACATAGTTGTGAAGATCTGCCTGTAGCCACATCGAAGACCACGCAGCTTGTCCATATGGGTCCTTTGTGTCAGTGGCGCTGATAACAGTTTGCCCCGGAACCCAGCTGCCCCACGTTGAGGTCGACCAGCTAGTGGTAAAATGTTTGACTGCGTCTGTATAACGTGGGCCATATGTCCGTGTGGTCGTCGGGGAAGGAACAGAGGTTGCGTATCTCATACTTCAATTAGCAAGCGATGGTGTACACTAGTTCTATAAATTTCTTACCGAACTGTTTCGTTCAAAGTATAGGAGAAGGGCTGAAATTGGTATTTCGGTGCCACGTTCGATTGTGTACATTGTGGCCGAGCAGAATAACCTGTTGTTGTCAAGTATACTTCCTGTGCCTGTATAGCCACAGCCAAAGCAGCAAGGGAAATGAACGGCAATCGCATTTCTGAGGTATCTATTAGACAGTTTTTCCGTATCATGCCTAGGAAGCGGTCCCCTCAAATAATGATTCCCCTCAGAGGTCAGTGTGTTTGCCGGTTAATTGTCGGCCCATGGTAATATGGCGTCAAACTCAAATTAAGGCTTCAATTGGAACGCCAAGTGCCAATGCGTCACGTAACTAGCCCTTCATAGCGCTGATCGACAGTACCGCAGACGAAGTTGGTAAGGAGGAGCTGCAATGTCCGATTTCCTCTGCTAGGGGCACTGGACAGTCCCCGGCTTCCCCGCATCGTGCGCCCTTGCAGATCCCTATATGGGGTCGCGGATATTTATCCTGTTGAATAAGAACCTTGCCCCGAGGAGATTGACAACGCTTTCGCTACATTTGGCTGCCACGTCATATCAACGCGTCCATATTGTACCCTGGATGATTGGAGAAGACCGCAATCACGCCCATTTAGGCTGCTCAGGCACAACCGTACCTTGGAGAACTGTCATTCTAATGTAATTATTTGAAAATTTCTGGAAAATCGACCTCGAATATGTCGGTAAAGAGCAGGGGAGGTCGCAATGTGGCACAAGATATTGGATTTGGATCATACTACATTAATGAGCGGCTATATTCATCAAACTGGGCTTGTGGTTTAGTGGTATAATACTCCCTTAGCATGGGAGTGGTCCGGGGTTCGATTCCCCGCGAGTCCACTTTTTTGTTACTGTTTTTTTTTTATAGATCTCAGGTTATTCTAGTTAAGACTGAAATGAATGAACTATATTTAGTAAAGCAGTCCAAATTGAAGTCAAATTCATGCCACGGGATATATTTTCACCCGTCTACTCCTCCCAATTGAAATTAATAACAATCCGGCCAGCCACCTCTCCCTTCCGTAGTTTCTCCACAGCCTCGGGCATGCGATTCAGTGGGTACACCTCACTGATTTGCCGTAGAGCCCCTCGCCGTGCGAAATCCAACGCCATGGCGGTATCACTACGGCTACCGACAAGGGTGCCCTTGATGGTAAGATTCTTGAAGACATACTGGCAGGGATCGGCTCCTATCGTCATGGACCCTGCAACTGGAAGACCGATGCACATCACAATGCCGCCGATACGGTCGCCGATAAACGACACGGCTGTTTTGTAAGCAGCAGGGGCTGTCACAAACACTCCATGAGCCCCGACCCCATCAGCAATTCCAATAACAGCCTTGGTAGAGTCGGCAACTTCTTTGAAATCCACGAAGGCCTCTGCCCCCATCTCAAGCGACAATTTCTGCTTGGATTCTCCCGTGTCCACCACGATCGGACGCATTCCCATTGCTTTAGCCAGCTGCACACCTTGAATTCCCACACCGCCACCGCCGCCAGGGAAAACAACCCAAGCACCCGAGCGAAGGTTAGACTCAACCAGAGACCGGTAGATAGTGCTGGCACTGCACATAATTGGGCCTGCAATTTCGTCGGGGACCCCATCCGGGATCGGTGATGCGTATCGTGCCGGTGATACCAAGTATTGCTGGTAAGTACCTGGTATGATGAGCCGCAATCCAGAGCATTATAAATGATTCAAGTCAGCCGTACCTGTCGTCATCAGACCAGTGAGAATTGCGCCCTTGCAGTATGTCTCCTTATCATCCCAGCAAAGCGCACAGGAACCGCATGTATCCAATATCGGTTTAATTCCGGCTCTATCGCCTAACTTGAAAGTCTTCACGTTGGCTCCAACTTTGACTACCACACCTGCACCTTCATGCCCCGGAGATCGCACACCAAACGCTGACATGAACGGGAGACCCAGATCTCCTTGCATCATATGGATGTCGGACGAGCAAAGTCCAGTGTAGTTCAGCTTGATCAAAACATCATCGGGGCCTACACCAGAGCATCAGTGGCTGTGAACTTGTGTACAGTGGAATACCTGACACTTCAGTCAAGATTGGGGTCCTACCTGGTTCTGGAACAGGCACTGTTTGTACCTCGACATGGAAATCGGGGCCTTCATTGATCACCACTCCGGCTTTACAGTGGGTGGGAATCTCGACTTGAGAGTAATCTATGACCGAACCCATGTTCCGAGAAGCTGTATTGCAAGACTCGAAAAGTGCAAAGTGTTGTCTGGAAAGTCTCAATGGACAATATACAAAAGAATTCACAGGAGAAAGTCTAAGTTCCACGAAGTCAAAATCTGGGGAAATACAAAATATACCGTGATCGTAACCCCTCTTTTTGTTGGTCTCGTCGTCAATGGCTTGGCTTGACTGAGGAGTAGGGACATACGTGCCGGATAATGTCTGGCACTCGACACCTTTCCACTTCCAATTTAGCTCATCTCTTGCCGCTTTTTAATCTTACAGGAAAATTGAAGCCGCTAAACACTCTGGAAAAGGGAGACTGTAAACCATAAGAATACATTTTGCTGCCAACCAGGAGTGATGCCGATTTGAACGATCTTGCCGTCCAGACGTTTATAGAAAATCACTTGACAAACAATTGAGCCTGTCTATTGAACGCACCCGACGGCACGGCAAGCAGTCCATCCTTGACTGCTGCTAGGTGCTGTTCGGTGGCCAACACAATCGATACCCCTCGTGGTCATCCCGCATATCCACAGTTGCTTTCCCCGCATTTGTTCTTGACGCACTGCAGTAGAGAATGCACTTTCTAACGTTGGTATACGGTGTCTAAGTTGTATTAATGATGATTGGTCTCATTGACGATAAAGTAGTCATCCTGGAAGAACATCGCATGTGAATTATCAAGCCTGACTGCCGACGGTAATAAGAAAGAACCCCACGAAATATTAGGTCAGCGGAGAGGAACTCTACACTATAGTAGACGGAGAAATAGTGATCTTGCTTCAGAACACTCTGTCTTCGGCCAGAGTGCCCTTAGCTAGCGTAGGTCTGATTGGCTGAAATTGATAATTTTTATGTGGAGCTCCTTCTTAAACTATAGTAAGGGCAGTGGTTGATTAACAAGGTTAAACTGCCCTAGGCAGTGTGAGTTTTGCGAACGAACTTTAGTCTGATTTATCCAGATAAGTATCTCGCTGCTTACTGAGATACAACCGGAGCGCCATACTTATTGCACTCTGAACTGCAAGACTCCTTCTTATGCTACTAGAGTCTAAATGCACAGGGGGGGGGGTTCGGTCGGATCATCGGCCAAGTTTACCCGCAGCTAATTCTATTCTGATCCGCTATTTAGACCAGGCGGGGTAGCATTCAACAGTAGACTTCTCCTGGGTATTTAGGGGTCAATCTGCGGGGGTCTACGACCTCCGAGCAGATATTTCACATACGCTAAATAATCACCAGCGGACAAAAATGGATCGTAAACTGCAATACCCTAGTATTCAGGTAGAGGCGGCCTTTTAGCTGTCGAGACGTTGTACTAGCTAGTGCTTAACAGACCGTGGCGAAGTTAGACGGCCGCTGAAAGCCCCTTTGTGCTGTGTAAGTTGACAATAAACACGAGGCAATGAAGAATTGTTGGTCACCGAATCATCTTGTGATAAAACTGGGGGCAGGCGGTGACGTACAATTAGTGTTGAGTACCGGCAAAAGTTTACGAACAGATAATAGCAAAACTAGCGAAGCTAGTGAAAAGTGAGGTTGGTTTACTTATTCACCTGAGTATGTTCACTTTGGCTGAGGATCTGGCACATAGAAAAGGTAGATATTAAGACTTGAACTTCATAATTGAAGGACACTCCAGCAGACAGTCTTGAACGAACGGTCTCATGAACAAATACTATCTTAATCTTCATAATCTGACGGACACTTCAATGGACAGTGTCTTGACCTTCATAATTTGACGAACACTTGAACGAGCATTATCTTGAATAAACAGTATCATGGACGAATACTATCTTGAACGAACACTATCTTGAACGAACACTATCTTGAACTTCATAGTCTGACGGACAGGGGAACGAACAGTCTTAAACGAACACTATCTTCAACAAACACTATCTTGAAATTCATAATCTGACGAACATTTGAACGAACAGTATCATGAACGAATACTACCCTGGATAAACAATAGCATGATTTGCTTTGGTATTTAATGGGGCCGCTAATTAACGAAATCCCTGTCTGCAATGAATAAATAGTATATATTTTAATGATTTATTCGTTCTGCCTACAGGCTGGGGAAAATCGTCATAACTACTGTTCGTTCAACCGTCCGTTAGATTATGAAGTTCAAGATAGCGTTCGTTTGAGACTTTTCGTTCCCCTGTCCGTCAGACTATGAAGTTCAAGATAGTGTTCGTTTAAGATACTGTTCGTTCTAATGTTCGGATATGAAGTTGAAGATACAGTTAGATAAATAAGCTTTGACCAATGATTCACTTGGGAACAAGACTAACACAATGCGCGGACCAGCGTGTATCATTGCGGTAGGGGGATGGTTTAACGGGATCATAAGTGTAAATAATATGGTCAAACAGAAGATAAAGTTTTAACTACTTATAGAATGGCCATTTTGAACAGGTTCAATTTTGAACTAAGCAGGTTTGAAATAAACAGCTTAAAGCTCGAGCAACTCAATGAATGTGTAGCCTCAAAGTTACGTGGTCTTATATTTTGCCTATACTGGTTGGATATTGCGTAGGCGAGATTAAGTACCTTGTCGTTCTGCGGTCAGTATTTGCCTCTTTCAGGTTTTCTATGCCTTTTAAAGTCGGTGGTGCACACATGGTCTTTGAACAATATTGACAGTTTGACATTTTGGATAGTTGTTGCCTGTTCCATGGACTGTGTAAAATATCGTGTAAAGCTTGAGGACAGATCTTGGCTTCCTCGGCTCAGATTAAACCGAGTAATAGTCTTCAGCACTGCGAAGAGGTGTCTGTCATTTGCTGGAGGGCAGGCAAGGGACATCTCGTCGCAACCTGACCTGGTACTTGATCCTGGTTTTGTGCATGACCAGCAGTCTGCGTGTGGAACTAAATTTGGCATGGAACGTAGCCCAGGATTTACGTTCGTAACTACAGTGAGTTTACAGTGTGCCGTAGCCTCGACCTCAATGGGTGGGCTCACAGTGAATGTGCCGTGGCCTTGACCTCAATGGGAGGGCTCACAGCGGAAGGCCACTGGTAGCCACACTCAACCCAGAGCTAAAATGAGAAGAGGACACAACGGGGGAGGGCTCGCCTTTATGCTGGGGCCTGTGGGGGCCTGTACATACATCAGCAGGACCTAGAACTACGCATGGACGCACAGTTAACTAAGTGTGCCGTTTTATCCGGAAATTTGTATTACCCTGACAAATGGGCTAACCAATCGTGACTACATGGCTTGAGCCACAATTAATGATTCGTTGATGATGTCTCAAGATCGGAATTGGCGCGGGATGAATCCGTATAGTCGAGGCAAAAAGACTACAATAAAGAGCCTGTTTGTTGTAATTGCGAATTTGAGTAGAGACTTGGATACTTCATTATCCATAGAGATCCACCCAGTTTCCATAGCTCATCTTTGTAACTAGAACTGGCTTACGGTAGCCATGTGATTTTGAGGCAAAAGGTGACGTATGCCCCTTGTTCACCAGGTCCAACGCCCACATAATACAGCTGTGAGACGTAATGGTCAAGGAAATTGCGTCCGCTGTAGAATTTGGGCAATGTCTGGGCTCCCTGGTAATCACACTTAGAATTCTGACGATGCTTTCGAAAAACGGCAAATACATACTTCCATGAGTGATTCCATCGCAAGATTCAGCCGGCAGCAAAGATTCTGGTCGGACTCCAATATGCTCGTCCGGGTTTGATTGCACGGGAGACTGGGGACTCCCGTCAGGACGATCCGCTGGCTCTATATACCAAGAAGTAGATTAGCAAAAGCTTCGACTCTATTCATACGATGTAACCGGTTCTAGTATGTAATTGGAAACCGTTTTGGGACTTCTCACCTAACAATGATTCCTGCAGTTCATCGGTGCAATCAAATTTCGACCGGCACTGGGAGACAGAGGGCTGAAGACCTGGGGATGCCGCTGCAAGGGACTCTTTGCTTCGACCGACTGTTTTGTTTGTAGACACGGAGATCACTTCGACAGCAGAACTATGCCCGTAGCTGCCTGGTCGGGTAACATTCAAGCACGGGCAATTTGGTTCAACGGCCAGTTCAGGGTCACTCTCTGCTTTTTCCGACGACGATCTCCCTTTTTGGGCATTTCGCGATGGTGACCTCCCCAACTCGATTTCATTTTCTACCGTCTGAGTTCCCGAAGATTGCTGTTGGAATGGATAGAGCGATCTAGAAATGATGTTCATAGCCACAGAGAATTGGGTAGGATCATTACACTCCCTGGTGGCGGAAAGTGCCGGAGCCGAAGGAGGTAGCTGGGAGGCGGCCCGCTGTCCGTGCGAAGGCTTCTTCTTCTTGTTGCATAAATAGCCAAAGCCTTGTTTATAGAGTTGGGCTTGTAAGGAGGGATAGCTTCGATCCTGGCCCGAGAACAGCAAGTATTGTTCCGTAATTTCTTTCTCGGACAGGTTCTGATGTTGCTTGAACCAGCCGGGCAAATCCCTTGCCTCCTCAGGGGTCCAGGAATGGTTCTGGCCTGAAGATGTTGTCAGCGGCTTTTCAGAACTATCTGATAAGGGTCAAGTCTACCTTTTCGTTTCTTGCCTTGTTTAGCCAGTGGAGATCCATCTGAATTCTTGGGTGTAATGGATGCTTCCGAGCCGCTTCGAGTAAATTCGTCCGAACTATTTCCCTGAAGCCCGAACTTCAAGTACTTTTGTTGCAATTTTTCGACCCTTCCAGACAGCCCGGCCAATACATTATCGATTGTTTGATTCACTGGATTAATGCAGGTCAGCAGAGCGGTTGACTGAGTGACGAAGAACTGTACGAACATTGCAAGGTAAGGTCTTTCCAGGGCGCTATTTGAGATCGAGTCAATTTGACAATATTGATCTCCGATGCCACATCACAAGGATATGAATGAGGGTCAACAAGCTGCCGTGGGAGACCGGTTGCAATAAAGTCATGATCCTCTTTTGACACCTCCACCAACGCCTTGCATTTATCCACCCGGGCATGATGGTTGCCATCGCTCTGCTGTTTTGGGTCATATGTTGCGGATAGAACAACATCAGCCCAGTGAATAGTGCATCCGGCCGGATCGGCCTCCAATACATGCGGCCTGCGTTTGCTGAATAAGGTGTCAAGTCCGTCCGCTTTGAGATCGCTGGTGAGAGGAATATGAAAGAGTCGCGCAAGGTTCATGTCTGCTTGCAAAACGGTCTGATAAGACTGCAATAGTTCAAGAGTAAAAAGCAAACTTTTCCCTGGCAGAACCAAGTGACGGAGATGTGACTGATCGTGTAGGTCCCAGGTGCTTGAGCTGAGGGTTTCTCTCTCAATACGCTGGGGCCTTTGACTTCTCTGGTCGGGGGACATTTTGGTCAAGCTCTGCTGGGTATGAGACAACAGAGGCTAGAGAGTGTCTGCGACACTTTGCACGAAACGAATATATTTTTGAGTGATGTCTCGACTGAGGTAGAGTACAATTTGAAAAAGCCAGTGACACGTCGCAACAATGAGCGATTGTTGGAAGGTTTGCTCGCGACGCTCTTCACAGGTACCTGGCCAACGGTAGGGAGGTGTTTCGCCACCACGCGATTGACATTATACTAATATTCTCCTTTGAAATTGGAGCAAAGTTGCCTGGGGCTAGGCTGGAAGAACGATAGTGATCACGTAGCCCCACCACCAACGGCGCGTAACAGACCACCTCCAATTGGCGGGGTTTCTTTACCATCAATTTTCAGCCCCATAGTCAGGAAACAGATGTTTTTGGGTAATGCAAGGACTTTCCAACAGATAAGGCACAGAATACAGTTTTAAGCCACCACGGACGTCACCGGTGGCTTAGGACCTTGAGCCATGGATTGGACGCCTACTATGGATATTAAGCTTCAGCTAAAGATCAATAATCCGCCTACGCCGAGTTGGGAAGGAGTCTCTGCGACACAAGTGCCTCCGAATGGATGAACGGGCTTTCCGGGGGATCCACGCATCGTACCCGCGAGGATCGATCCCTTCCGCGTTATGTACGGTACATTATGCTTGTTTTGTATCGAGAATTAGATGTAGCCGAATTTACGGATTCTTGACGCCTTGGACCAAGAGAGGGATTTCTCGCGGTGCCCTACCTTAGGGTGATTTTTGGCATCCTTTTTAAAACGCGTACTGGAGTAACAGGGGAGTCGAGACTGTTTCCAAAAATGTGTATTGTCGCTAATGCATGACAAATGAAAACTTTGGTGTGACAAAACAATACCATCAATACACGCTCTCCAGCATAGCCCCAAGCAACTGTTCGCACCCCTTTATGCATGTCGTGCGGATCATGCGGCTTTAAATCCACGTTTACTTGCATAGACTGATAGCCACTGTAATACTTTTGTCAAGGGACATTACTTGCGAGACACGGGAACACCTGAATCGATGCTCTGCGGGCGCTATGAGCGGTTCCCCTTATTGGCAAAAATTAGTTTCGTTTGATCGGACGGGTCGGGCTGGCTCATCCCGAAACCTAAGATGCGTCTCAGTCAAGGGACTTCCCCCAGTGATTTGGAATTAATCCCGAATTTGTCTCTACGAAAGAAACAATATATCATCGTACATTGAACATTGAGTTCAAATTACGTGGGCCCGAAGTCTAATAGATCACTGGTGCAGTCACCAACGGCGCCTACAGGCAACACCATATTGGCTGAGAACTTTCTTGAAGCTTTATTCCAGACGAGATGGTGTGATAGGTCGTTCTTTGCACAACGCTAGAGCATTTGCAATAGCCTCAGTGATGTAACACTTCCTCGTGTCAAAAGTCAATTTTGCGTTAGATAAAGGAGAGATTTTTCAAACGAATACATATCCTTGATTGGCTGGAATATATTTAGCGTGGTTAATGGCAAATCAAACTGTTCACAACTGCGGAGTAGTTTCATGCTCTAACAAAGACAATCCTATGAAGGGTACAGAAGCCACAGCGTGAAGAGGATACTTTGTTACTCCTGGTCAGGGGTACCACTCCTAGCGCGCGCTTTTTTTGGCTATTCCACACTCCTTACACACCAGATCCCGTCTCATTTCTATACGAGATTATGTTTCCTAAACATGGCCAGTGGGGTTGTTCTTTGCTTTTTGCGCATTCCAAATGCTTATCAGTGCGGGTTAATTGGTCGTATTCAGCGTAAGGAACCGAGGGCAGATTTATATTATTGGGTGATGCCCTTTCATTTCCGTAACCCCCCGCAATGCGGACGATCAGTCGATTGGGAAATCGGGAAATTACTCTGGACCAGCTACTATCCTTTCACGGTTGAAATCTATACCTCATGTGGAGCTTCTGCTATGGTAGTTCATCGGTATGTCATTATCGAGTTGGTGATTTATTGCCGGAGGAGGTTGTAATTAAGCTCTGGGCCGCAGCTTTCGATCACGCGTTGGGCAGGTTGATCGCTGCACATCACCCCTGGCTGCTGGCAGTCTGGCTCGTTGTGCTAAGCTTCCTGCCTTGTGGGGCGGGGCGTTCTGGTATTTCCCCTTGGGGTAATATGACTGTGCTTGAGTTTGCGCAGTCAATCGGCGAAGACAAACTGCAGGCAAGCATATGAAGTCGGTACGGATCTTCTTCCTGTTGGCCATGTTTCGGATGCGCAGAGAATAGATAGCATTATACAATTGGATGCGTTTTTACTTGCAGTTAAGGCCGGTGTGTCTCATTTAAGCTTCTGACGCTTCCAATGGAGTAGCCCAGCGTCCATTACAGCCTTCCCATAATGCCGCAACCTATTTTTGATTATTCCCGTGGTCCATTGGATTTATCCAACAATTAACTTCGACGGGCAGCATCGGGCGTTGTCATTGCTGTGCAGGGCGTGGGATCACCTTCAGAAGCCACAGCAGAGCGGGACGGCTGCCGAAGCATTTCCTGAGTCCCAGCTCGCATTAATCAATGCCAAAAGTGGGGAGGGGTTCATTGTGCAAGCGCAGGCAAGCTTCACGGGCAGGATGCGCAGAGCCGGGCTGGATCCGGGAAAGATTTGCTTCTAAATATAAAGTACGTTGGAGCCATGGCAGACGCCACGCACTTTCCGTCTGGCTATTGTGGATCAACCGCTAGTCCTTGCAGGGTCGGAAGCTGCGACTCGATCACCAACAGCGCCAAAGCGATAGCCTCAGTTGGTCAACGCTATCTCACCCTGGTCGCTGGGGGCCAGTCTAGTAGCATCAACCACGGAGTAAGCCCCAAACTTCCAGAGGGAACAGGCGTGAGATAACAAGCCTTCACCGTGACCGTATGTATGAGTACCGTTCGATCACAAAAAGTTAATTTTGAGACGCAAGAAGTGCGCAGCTACCTACAGTAAGAGATAGGCACATACGTTGCGGTTGGGGCACGTTGGGGCCGATCGCGACGTTCCCCAGTCGCCAAGCAAGGATCGATTTGTATATCGCGATCTTTAGCCGATCATGGTTCCTAGTCTCTAGCTGGACGGAACAGAAAGGGGACGACGAAAGCTAGAGATGGTATTTTTGCCCGATTACATAAAGCGAAACTGGGGGTGTTGTAGGCAGAATCAACAATGGACGGCAGCCTCTATTCCCTATCCCTTTAGTTCTATGGTTACATTTGTTGGGGAGATGTTGGAAACTCTGTTCTCTGCAGCGGCCTACGGCTTAAACGTTCAAAGCGGTAGGGGTACTATTCATTTAGGTATACACAGTAATAGGCTAAGCCGGCAAAGAATCAAACGCTGTTTTATCCTTCTTTATATCGACCGCGCCTAGGCCCACACTCTCCTAAGGGTAGGTCTCTTATAATAAATTGCAGAAGTTAGCTACAGTTTGTATAACTATAGTAGAATATCACAAAATAAATAGGCGATAGAAGATAAGTTTATTCTAAATACCTAGGGCCAAATAGATTACGTTAATAGTACAGCGAAATCGGTCAACTTAACGAGACCTTATAAAGCTACAATTAACTTCGGGTTTCTCTGAGATATGACCCTAATCTCAATACTAGTATATAAAGTTAATATAGTTAGTAAGTTTTTAGATCCTTAGGTATAAAATCTCTGACTAGTAACTATAGAGTATCGATTCTCTATATATCTGAAATATAGCTAATAGGAAGAAACCTTATAGCGATTTCATAAGTTCGCCTACTATTTATCTTCGGTAACTAACTGTACTAACTTAAGTATAGTCAAGTTTTCCCTAAGGGGAAATTATACTAAATACCTTACTCTATAAGGTAGAAAGCTAGGATAACTAGTTAGATAGCCTATAGCTAGGGATTAATATATAGGGATCTACCTATCTAGTATATACGTAAAATATATACTATATAGCTAGAACCTAATCCTCTAAAGGTATAAGTATTCTAATAGATAATCTTACTAATAATTTACTAATAATATACTAATTATAGTAGGAGCTCTATAGGGTATAGAATTTACCTATAAAGGAGAGTACTAAGTTAAATGTACTTTCTAGACCTCTAAATTAAGGTATTATTAACTATATAGGGTATCTAGAAATAAATGTACTTTATCTAATAGTGTGAATCTACCCTTCCTTTATTAAACTAATAAAGGTATAGCTCTATATCTATACTATCTATTTAGCTGGTTTCTAATAAGTGATTATACTAACTTAAGAAATATCAAATATATCTAAATAAGTAATTTAAATAAGATATACTAGGGCCTAGATCTCTAGAAACCCCTTAACCATAGAATAGGGTAGAATTTAGTAGGGATTCCTTTAACTTAGGTATCTATTATAAGCCTACTTTACCCTAAACAGTTAACTTATATAGACTATCTATAGAAAATAGGTAAAGAGGATAGAGTATTATTAGCTATATCTAGGATTCTTATAATCTTATCTCCTTATATAACTGAACTTAGTATATAAGAAACCTAAAATAACTAAGAAAAAGCTTGTACTAGAAAGGGTAGTACCCCTGACTATAAGTTATAGAAGTATAGAGTAATAAAGGACCCTCTTTATACTATAGTATCTCTACTTATACCCCTTATAGGATTATACTTATAGAAGTATAAGACTACTTTAGATCTATAAATAGATCGATTTACTATCTATTATACTAAATATATTCTAGTTAGCTAAGGATATATATCTATTTAAGGGATATCTCCTTTATTAAACTAATATTAACTAATTAAAATAAGAAAGTACTAGTATTACTAAGTTTCTGTAACTCCTCTATTTTATACTAGGTATAAAGATATTATTAGGAAAGATAACAATTCTTTTCCTTATAAGGATAGGATTTATAAAAAAAACCCTATTATACTACCTTATCTTAAGTAAACTTTTAAGATAGGCTCAATATTTTAGCTAATATCGTTTAGTATATA